AGGGCAGTCCAGCCATCGTAGCCAAAGTGTAGACTTTAAACGGTGTGCAATTGCCAATGTAGTAGTCACTGGGCCAGTTACTCTCTGTTGGGCCGTACAAAACGGGGTTGAGATCGCTCACTAAGATTTTAAACGTCTCGTAGTTCGTCGGACGGATTTTCAAAGGCTAGCAGAGAAATTACTCAATTTCGCACCTCGAACAACCTTCTGATAAGAAATTTTTTCCTTTCTTTTCTTTTTGCAAAGAACCTGTCGATCTTTCATTTTCCATCTGATTCACTTTTATCATGCCCAAGGCAGCGACAACGTCGAGAAACCCATTGGTGCCACCCCAACGCGCGGTTCGCCGGTCGACAGGGGCGGAAAGATCTCTTGCGCAGCCCATAGGGACTTTGCCTGGGAGCGAGGCCGGTGGCATTGGACCGACGTCGCAACGGCAAGTGAATGTTCGAGAAGTACCGGTCCGTTCTCTATTACTATAGCTACGGGGCGTGCGGTCTTACTCACATATACTTTGATAGGGACGAACTTCCCACGCATCCAGAACCAATCAAGACGAGAGAGACGGAAACTTCGAGATCGTCCACGCTAATTGTAAAAAGACCATCGAGAACGCCGACGCAATCAACCGACAGCTGGCAGCTCAGTTTAATGAGAAACGGCGTGAAATCGCAGCCAATGCGCAGTTGTTTAGCAGGGAAAGATCCGAGATGAGGACCAAGATGCAGCAGTACCGCCTGGAGATACAACGCTTGAATGGAGAAGTTACTAGGCTGGAGGCACTTCTTGAGACAGCCAACTCAAATGCCCGTAACTTGGTCTCGCGAAGTGACCTGCAGCAGACACTGGAAGATATTCATACTGCTGGCCAGTCATTCATGAGCCATCTTGAAACCCGAATGAACGAAAACGAAACCAAGATGGATGAAAACGGAAATGCGCAGAATTTCAGTCAGTTGCCGGGAGTAGATGTGACGGGCGACTGGCTCGACACGGAAGCGTTCGATGTGATCAATAACTCTGGGGCTTTTGCGGAGATGCCGGCCACCATGTTTCCCGTATCTGAACAGGACGGCATGCCAAACATCTAATTTGTCCGCGGGTTGAGCTGGGTTAAGTCGCCACAAATGCCATGATTAATTTTTCACTCGCTCACTAAGATAATTGAGCCTGGTTTTTCTTTGATTCTGCCTTCACGCAAGCCAAGAACCCACGTGCCCGTATATTACAGTACAGCAACGGCGATCTGGGTAGGACACATACAGTGGTCTGATTAGTATTTAACCTCCGGTACATTGGGGGCCTAGGATCCACTTTAATACTGCCAGGCAGAAACCTCGGGGATTCGAATTCATCCAATAGGTGGTGACGCGCGAGTTCCGATTGGCTGATAAAGTAAGCGGTCTAGGTAGCGGTCAAAAGTAAAAGGGGGGACCTTAGTACCGGAGGTTAAATACTAATCAGACACCACTGTATAATAGCATTACAGGTGGTATAAATACTGTTACGTGTATTCAGGTCAAGGATCGAAACCCAACCTGCGACCTTAACAGGTCCAGATCTAGCTTTTGTCTAACACCCCACGGTCTTTTGTTTTTGTCTAGTCATGACCTCAGTTCTGTTCGCTGACCGAATACTTTAGTCACGCGTGTCATAGCAAGCATGAAATGATCGTATTGGTAACGGATCTGGTGTACTGTAGCTCATAGCTCAGTACGCAGACAAGAGTCTCCTATCTCTCCAACCATACAGCCTTCCCTTCAAAGTGGTTCCACAGGCGCTTTCTATGCATGTCATTCATGTCATGCAACTCTAAACTCACACCGACAGGCACGGACCGATGTCGCTCTATGGCTAACGATGTGTTCTCATCACTTGCTCATATATGGACAATCAATTGTATGCTATGTGGCCGTGTGGGTATCGGTTCGACCGTATCATCTAGTCCAAAGTATGAGTCCTGTTGATACTGGGCGGGCGGATCGGGCTGCCCCATCCCGAGAAGTTGCCGTGCTTTGGTCAAGGGCTTTTTCCCCAGCGATCTGCAATTGATTCTCCTAACCTGGAAGGGAGGACGGAGGGTTGAGGGACCGCAGTCCCTATAATGAGCACTCCCGCCTATCACCTCAGATACCCCTCTCTCTAGCGCTCTCTCCCCCAGTCCTCCCTGAAACCACCGTCTATCTTGTCAATGTTTGCCAGGCGTTAAGTACCCAATGCAATTTGGGAGGGTATGGTACGCACGCGATATCAAATTTCCACAGAATAGGGGCGAACAACCACCAATTGCACTACTTCGTGAACTAGAAAAATGGGGCTCTTCTAAGGCGTTTACGAGACGTGATTGGTCCGAGGCTATCGAACAACTGGAGCTATAGAGTGTCAGCTCCACCTCCGTCCGGTATACATGTAAAACCACTTCGGTTTTGTGGTTCATCACTCCTGTCATCCATGGCTTGAATTGAAGCACCTTTCTCTCTTCACTCTGTGAGCCTGTTGATTGCAGGGGTCTAACTGTCCCGGTGGCGGTGTTGGGAGCGCGGCTCGACTGTGAATTGCACACCACCGGTGGATTAGATTAAATTAGCGCTGGTCGGACGATACTCGAACGATCCAGACCTAAACCCCTGTCTGGCGCTCAGTAGCCCACGCGGCCGATGCAGCTCACTATCATTCTGTGGGAAGGACCCAGGATTGCTGTATAAGTCCTCTACACTGAAAGCCATATTGAGCGTGGGCGAAATTATTCTACACTTGGGACTCATGCGATAGTAATTCAACGACAAACATTATCCTGCGCTGTTTGATATGTCCTGTGCAATAGCTATGGATTCTTGAAAACCCCATTTTACCGGAAGGTCATTATTTGGGCAAGACGAGCGCTTCTCGGAGAAACATCATGGTTTAGTAACCTATCATCTGGTAATCAAAGAGATGTTGGTGATGTGTTTCGTGAGTTCAGAACCAACAGTGGCAAGCTGGACTGGGGTCGGATTGGCTCAGGCTAAGCTAAAGGTGACGTCGTAGAGAAGGGTTTTTTATTTGGTACGCCCGAGCGCGGGAAATTGGTACAAAATTCGGCCCCACATTTGCGGATCTTAGTTCCGTTGGTATCCAACTTAATTCCATTGGCTACGGAGTCACAATAAGCCACCGGCAATACAGCTCAGCGCAAACGGCTAACACGGGAGTGTACAGCCGCCACTTTTAGCTAGACTGGTACGGATCGCGTGACCAACAAAGTTCTTACGCCGTGGCGATCTTCCTTTCAGAGCGTTCCCCGTTCCTGGCCTTCCAGTTCTAGACTTCTAGTATTGGGAATTTATCTGCAATTCGGATAGCATGGCGCGGCAGGCCGCAGGAGCTCTCTCGATCAGACGTTACTTAAGGTAGATAGAGATACGGTTGTCTTTTCTTCTATCAGCGTCTTGCGCACTGACGAAGCTCCTGTGCTCTAGCGCGCGCATTGGTACCGCAACACTAGCCAATCAGATTGTGACCACAGGCTTTGATTGAGGCATTGGACAGTAAGAGAACGCACAATTACTCGTAAAAAAATATGACAAACGGTGAAAAATAGAAGTTACGGACGAACGCATGGGAGTGTCTCTACAGCCCTGTACCCTAAAATGACATCTGCCCTGAACCTTCAGTACTGTTTGGATAGCAGCTGTAATATCTTTCACCACTGCCCAAGCACCTGGTCCAATATTTTCCAAAGTTTCTCCGGGACTGAGTGTCGTCGTCGGCGTTGGAGGGAAAACATCCTGAGTATTGCATCATCTAGCGCAACCTAAATCAGTTCTGACCCATATTATCTTCTTTTCGTATACTTGTACTCACATGATCGCCGTTGGCCTCTGGTTAGTGATTCTCTAGGATTGAACTGCCGGAGCAGTTGGCGAGCCTGAAGATCCGCAGCCCTCAGATTTAAGGCGGGTGGCGAGTTGGGAATGCCAGGCATATGCTCCAGTCGTTGACATCCTACAGCCTGAGCGTTCTTGCGGCGACATCTTGCAGATATCGAACGCCGCCGGTAGATACCTTTTAGTAGTTGATTATGTTTTCCACGTAGCGACTCGGGCCCGCGTGCAATACCAGTATCGCAACGGTATTTGATCGATTTCTTCTCCCACGATAAATGCTGGTGTCGGGATAGCCAGTCCGGAAGCCTTTGCTCTTCTGATGGTGACCACGGGATATAGTTAGCTTTGGACATGATGAGAGAGAAGAGGAGAGACAAGCAGGCTGCGATGGAAGGATGCTGATAAATTCGTGATGGATCAAACGAGATCAACAAAGGGAAGACAGGGATTTATGTAATTGTTGAACGGTTCGAACTCCTCCTGAGGGGACACGGGAGGGGACACGGGACTTGGGACGGTTGGTCTCAGCTTGGATAGGATGTTGTTCGTCTCCGCCGAAATTACACGATTCTACTCGACCACTTCCATGGGGGTTGGACATTTGACTGTGCAATTCGAAATTAGTCTACAAGCCACCAACGCTTCTACGAGTGCTATGATTGCCTGTTTAAGAATCGGTTCATGTTGGGGCACGGTAACATCCTGGCTCTCAGTAGGGCCGGTAAAAGCTGATTTGAACGAAAGTAACACCGGACATTGTATCAACTCTGCGTGAAAGTGATTCTGAATGCATTTCGCCGCCTATCGAGCGTAGAGAAGGCAGCCATCACGGAAACAACATAGCATGACCGAGACCAGACAGACGAAGGCCGACCAGGTGCCTGCCCTATTTGAAAAGCCCCCTAAGAGTTATCCCTGCTTCATGATCCAGAAAAGTGGCTCCCAAGCCATCTATCCGACCCCCTGGGCCCCCTGGTCTAGACTTATTAAGGAAATATTTTCGAAGGGCTCAGACTTCTGTGCTATGGAGCCTGTATATTGCGACTATGCCGGGGATATATATTGAGCATGTACCCTCCTGAATAGGTATCACAAAACAAACACCACTGGTGTACTTCCGTATTATCAACTTCCATGGCACCTCCACTTGATTATGAGCCCAGCATAGCTCCAGCTGCATTTGCGGCAGGCTGGCGTCAGAAGTTCAGGTCACAACCACAGCGGGTTCCCTCCACCTACAGTCTTCCCAATGATGATTGTCCTTTCGAATACGTGGACCAACCGCTGAATACTGAAGCCAATGATGTGACGGGGAATGAGGTTGACCGTCAACGTATTGAAAGCGACAACTTGACAGCGGACTCTTCAAGCTTGGCTTTGCCCGACTTAGATAACCTGCGGCAACATTCTCCCGAGGTAATCATGGCACTGGGGGGCACGTTTATCAGACAGTAAGCAAAATCGATCCTGGTCTCAATTTGTCCCTCACTCACAGCCAAGTAGATTAGACAGCCAAGTGCAGTGGGTCATTTCTCTAGACTGATTTCAAGACAAAAGACTTGTATATTGACTACAGCTACCTAGGGCGATGGACGAGCAGATCAGGCAGCAAGATGTTTGGAACGACGGCATACAACGGCAGATGGAGGCCATTGTTGAACACTACCGGAAAATAGATGCCCTGGAAGCGCAGGTGGCGGCTCTGCAAGCAAAGCTGGATGTTCTATGCGGTGACAAGGAAGCGGCTAATGCAGGGCGCAGATCGGGTGGCCGCAGACGCCAGGCACCATGAAGACAGCCCCATATCCTCAGAATCCATCGACGTAATTCAAGCCAAGCGCGATGCCTCTTTCATCAGCCAGGAAGTACTCCAAGACACCGTATTCCTAGTAACTGCTCGCTAGTTGTTAAGGTGCTAACAGGATATCAATGCCCCTTCAGCGAGAGATAACGGTGGTAACTGTGGTTGGCGATCAACCATTCCCTCTAGTTTCGTCTCCACCTAAGCGACCGGGTGCTCGGCCCACCCGAGGCGCTTGACGTAAAGATCCTAAACTCCACCTTGTATGCTACCGTACCCGGGACAGATGCTGTAATACACTTTCCATGCGCTGGTACAGGTATAGCATTTGCGTGCGTCCTGCTTCTATACTATGAAAACATGTCCGGACACAACACCCAGTCTTGCTTTGTGTAATCGGGCAAAAATACCATCTCTAGCTTTCATCGTCGCCTTCTGTACCGTCCAGCTAGTGACTAGGAACTTTGGTCGGCTAAAGATCGCGATATACGAGATCGATCCTTGCTTAGCAACTGGGGCACGTCGCGATCGGCCCTAACGTACCCCACTCTTACTATAGGTAGCTGCGCACTTCTTGCGTCTCAAAAATAACTTTTGTGATCGAACGTTATTCATTTGTACGGCCACGGTGAAGTCTTGTTGTCTCTCGCCTGTCCCCTCCGCAACTTTGCAGCTCACTCCGTGATTGATGCTACTAAACGGGCCCTAAGTGACCAAGGTGAGACACTATTGACCAACTAAGGCTACCGCTTTGGCGCTGTTGGTGATGGAGTTGCAGCTTCCATGGTAAGTGGAAACTCTGATCGACATTTCCAGGGGTAATTGAGTAGTCCTCGAGATGAAGCAACAGGCCAAACGCCTCTAGTACAGCCATACCCTGCAGGAACTAGCGGTTGATCCACAATAGCTAGACCGACGGAAAGTGCGTGACGTCAGCCATGGCTCAAATGTACTTTGTATGTAGAAGCAAATTTCCCGGATCCAGCCCGGCCGTACGCATCCTGCCAGTGAAGCTTGCCTGCGCTAGCACAATGAACCTCACCCCGCTCTTGGCATTGATTAATGCGGATCTGGCCCTCAGGACATGCTTCGTCGGCCGTCCCGTTCTGCTGTGGCTTCTGAAAGTGATCCCACGCCCTGCCCCAGCGATGACAGCGCCTTAAGATGCCAGTCAAAGTTAATTGTCGAATAAATCCAATGGACCACGAGAGTAGTCAAAAATAGGGTGCGGCATTATGGGAAGGCTGTAATCGACGATGGGCTCATGCTTTGGAAGCGTCACTGTGTCCAGTCAGAAGCTGGAATGAGACACACCGGCTTAACTGCAAGTAAAGGCACAACCAATTATATAATGCTATCTATTCTCCGCCTATCCGAAACATGACCAACAGGAAGAAGACCCGTACTGACTTCATATGCTCGCCTACAGTTTTTCTTCGCCGACTGGTCGCGCAAACTCAAGCACAGTCAAATTTACTCCAAGGGAGAATGCGGCACCTTTCTGCCTATAAGGCACTTTTCTGCCTATAAGGCACTTTTCTGCCTATGAGGCACCTTCCACCTTGCGGCTCCACCTGCCTTTGCATTCCCTGCGTCAACATGCCGGCACTCTTTCTGTTGTTTTTCCCACGGGTTTTTTTGCAGTTTTGATGAGGCCGGCAACTGACATGTGCTTGCTGTCTTTGGTGTTTTTTCCTTCTCCTGTACATAACCGTAACATGGGGGAGCTTTCGATCGCGGAGAATACCTTACCCCACGATCGAGGGGGAGTGTTGAGTTGAAGGCTACGGCACGTGACCGACACGGAAGAACCACTCTTCCGTGCACTGGCCAAAACACTCTCTCTAGCGTCTGCTTCTCCGATGTGAAAGGGCAGACTCCATTGAGCACTCTTTAGACCACTTCCCAATCGAGACCATCCCAGACATCCAAATACCTGTTCCAAAGCCCCTAAGCGCCGTAACTGGGCCGCCACGGATGACAAAAAGGGTCAAGAAAATGGTGATCAGCACCGTATTAAGCGGCATGGCCTGTTCCCCCGGATCGTATCTCTCATTTCAACACCGCCTGGAGAGGAATTTATCTCATTTGGACTAATCCCAACTCACCAATCTAGGATTTATCTTATGATCAACATTTGTCTAGTTTGCCTAGCTAAAAATACGGTACTACTAACTCAAAAAGTGGAGAAATTCTATTTCATGAGGCGTCTGTCCGACCTGGCTGCCTTTCAACCAATACATCTCTGAATGCAAGCAAAGAGACCATGGCAAAATTGCCCGATGTACTAGAGGTCAAACGACACGTTTTGCACAGAATGCAGTAACTTTTACGTGCGGGCATTTCAAGGTTATAGTTGACATATCCGTTATCGAAAGACACACCGGACCTGGTATACTTCATATGTAGACCATTCATTTTAAACTGTGTAAAGACATGTAAAGGGTCCAAAGGGTCCAAAGGGAAATTGGCCCTGAGTGCTCATTTTCATATTGTACCATCTGACAGCGAAGCTCAAATATTGATGCATACAGCTCACGCAGAGGTAAGTTTTGTATTAGACCAAACGCGGTATTACACGGGGAGCGGAAACACACCTTTGAGGACCAAGGATACGCTATATATTCTTCAAAACCACATCGTGTCAAGATTCGACACAACTAGCACAATGCATCTACCGAAACTTCTTTTCTATGCCTTGAACACGTCAGCTTACATCGCCTTTGTGAATTGCTTAAATGACAAGCAGAGAGGCAGCGTTGTTCTATATAACAATTGCTGGTTTCCTTTATATATTGAAGGGGTAGCAAGTACCACATACTTCGATATGGAAATTCAGCCCCAACAGAGCTATTCTGATCTATTTCGCCTCACCCATGATGGTACAGGAAGCTCTCTCAAGGTTTCGACTGAATGGAGAAGCTCTAAGGTTACCCAGATTGAGTACAGCGCTTGTTTTGGAAACGAAAGCAACATCGATTGTGGCCCTCCTAATATGATCTATTATGACCTTTCGAAGATCAATGACCCATCCAATGCCGAGTATAGTGTCCGCATTGAGCCCAGCTTTGCTTGGTGCGCGACGATCGATTGCCCTAAGCAGGTATATCGATGTGAGTCGACATATTACCAGCCCGATGACAATTATGCAACCAAGGCTTGCGACGTTCATACAGACCTGAAGGTCACATTTTGCTAGCAGTCAAAGCCGTAGAGCTTTTGTTTAGTGTGAAATTGTGACGGTAATGCTTTTCTAATGATGTCTTAAACCTCACTCATACAGACTGTGCCTCGTGAGATTCGCATAATCACTTGAGTTGGTAACAATTCAATCTTTCAGTTGGCATGAAGTCGGTGGAGATGAATGGGATTCTGGGCCGATTGTAGCGGACGGCGGTTGAGCACAGGAGTCGATGTTAGCGTTCGAACATTTCTCTGCTCTAGTAGACGCTGTTTGATTTGACATTGGTTTTTGTCAGTGCTGACGGAGACGGCGCCAAGCCTAGGAAGCAGGCCGCACCAAGTGAGGAGCAAAAGCGGGCGAAATGATTGGTCCGAAAGAACAGCCAACCAATGAATGAGCAAGAAAGTGCTATGATGCGCAAGTAACATATTCTTAGATCTTAGATCTTAGATAGATAGATAGATAGATACTTAGAGCAAGCTACATCGGGCCAATGAATTTCTCTCTCTACATGACCAGGTTTACTTGGCTACTAATTTCTATTTGGTGCTATATCATGAATGAAATATGGCAGTTCACGAAATATGGCAGTTCACCAAATATAATTTTATCAAGCTACAATATTATCTTCAGCAACCTAATACCTTACACACCTAGCACAATACAGATGGTCTATTGAAATCGTATTCGAGCGAATATTATTTTCCGTATCAAATCAATACCAGAATACATCTCCAGATGTTCGATATTTTGTCCAGTCATACTTATCAATATGGATAGTATCGATCATTGCAGGCAAGAATGGATAAGTAGAGAGGCAAGACACTAACCAATGTCATCATTGCAATAGACTTGATCCATGCAGACCCCGATGGAATTAATCCTGCATATGGCGGATCCAGTTAGTACTATGTCATATTTGGCTGATGGAGATGAAGATCGGGTTCGATACTCACTGATACCACGTGTATTGGTAAAGGACTGAGGACTAGTGATGAAGGTGAGCTGTTAGTAAGGACGTGTCCGGCGAGGAATTGCGCAATTTGGGATCTACGAGCCGTCCATCTACAGCTTATCGATTCAGAATATATACTCCATCAAGTTGAACGTCCCCACCAAGAGCCAATACGCCGATATATTTCCGCAGAGAACAAAGACAATGTCCTATTCGACCACTTTACCTCCACTAAGCACCCCTTCAGTGCCACACACGAACCATAACCCAAGGCTTCCGTGGGAGAGAACAATCCCCCCCCCCTGCAAAACAGAGAGTGCAGTTATGTGTTCAAGAATACTATGTACAAACAGCACAGGTTTTGGCTTTCGTTTCCCGATAATAAATTTTTAATAGCACAGTACATGTCTGTAGGCTATTCTGCAATTGTGCTACGCTCTGCCGTCGTGTCGCCGAAGCACATCTAGTCCCGCCCTAGCGAGTTTTCCGCCATAGTCGGCACGCTGATCTTTTGAGAGCGGCCATGTCCACGTCTGACTCGTCTGTCGGCACGCTGACCACAAACTGAATTACCCTGGCCCATGTGATTCACACTAGAGCCGGAGCGCTGGTGAAACCGCTTCCTCTTGCGATAGTGACGGGCAAGCCAGAACATACCGGCACCGTAAGCGCCAGCGCCGGCCACAGCCCCGATGACAACTCCTATAGAGCCAGCATTGATCTTGAAATTACTGGCTGAGCCATCGCTGTAGATATTACCACTAGCCGGGCTGCCATTGCGACCACTGCCGGTGCCGCCGCCGCCGGCGTTCGAGTTGCTGCCACCAATGGGATAGTTACCAGAGAACTCGAGAGGGATTGTCGGGTCAACCATGGCCATTAGTGACTGGATATTCTTATTTGACTGGCTATAAAGAGCAGATGTAGGGTTGACCTTGAGACCTCTTAGTGTGTTGACATTGTCAAGTGGGAAGTAGAAGATTGCAAGGGTAGCGTTATAGCCGGCAGTTTGCCAGTTATAGTAAGGCTGAAGTGCAAACATTACTGCGATATTCTTGGCAGAGTGAGTTGGTAAAGCGTTCTCAATAGCCTGAGGGGTATAGTTGAAGATCTGTGATGATGACAGAGGGGTTGTTGCAACAAATGGCCACGGCAGCTGGCTGTCAAATCCAAGCTGAAGCAGGATCGAGTTGGACGGAGCCTTGGTAACTACGTCCGATAGAGTGATAGAGCCAGGAAGAGGAGTTTGCTGGGGCTTCTCGGTCAGAACAGAGGTCGAACTTTCGATGGCTGGAATGTCAGGCGAAAAAAGGAGGGTAGATGGCATCCAGGCAGTATCGTCGGAGTTAGAAGCCGTGGCCAGTATAGATTGAAAAGTCTCGGTGTTCACACGGAATTTGGTTATGTTCACATCGCTGGTTGATCCATGTAGGAAGACAGAAGTGGTGGGAGAATCGCTCTTAGGAACAGAGGCGGTGATTTCCCAGAGTGCTGCCCACGCGACACTAGAACATGTGCTAGTGCCAACGCAAGTGCCAGGGCCAGTGTCAGATTCAGAAGCAATGGGGGAAGTATAACCGGATTTGCGGGTCTTTGGTATTGAAATCGCTCCGCTGGTGGCGGCTGGGGTCGGGCAAAAAGCGGTGGCACTATCTCCGAGAATCAGAGTAGGAATGAGAACGTTCGACTCGGACGACAGCACATTGCCGTCGAGCATCGGCGCTGTCATACTAACGGCAGTGGAACTAGCCTCTGGGGAATCAGCACTAAGCAGAAATCCTACGCCCAATATGTATTCGTCGAGCGTTCCACCAGAAACTGAAGTCTCAGTCGGAGCGGGGGTGGGTGCGAGCAATAGAGCTGTGGAAGCAAGCAATTCGACTGGGATACTCGACGGACTAGAATCGCTAGAGGATGACTTTGATGTGTCAGGGGATAGATGTGCAGTGGTGCTGCTTCCAGTGGATGCTTTGTCGGTCAGGCCCAGTAAGTCAAAGAATTCTGATTCAGAGCTTGTCATGATTTGGCCTAGAAAAGTCGAGTTGCTGGAATCGCTGGAGCTGGTACTTTGATTGCTAGGGTAGCTAACTTTATCGGGCCTCGCAGAGGCGGGTCCACTGGTCGAGGAATCGAGGAGGCTGTCCGAACCGGTTTTCGAACTACCCAGCATGGAAGCGGTGGATGTAGCCCAAGCATAAGAACTCGGCAAATTTAGCACCTTGGCCAAAGGGGCCGTAGAGGGGGAAACAGTATAGACACTCCAGGATGCGGAACTGCTAGTCGAACTACCGATGAAGTTGTGTACACCAGCATCGACGTCATCTACGAGATTGTCGCGGGGCGATGTTGGTAAAGTAGATAGAGCAGGTGTTATTGAAGCAGTGATTGATGAGCCAAACGTTGGCCCCTGCTTGCTCGTAGTTCCCGCATCGGTAGGTGCAGTCTCATAGCTTTTGCGAGTCTTCCCAGTCCTCGAAACACTGATTTCCTTGGGCGCTGCAGTGGTGGTAGCAGCCGGATCGCCTCTGATGATTGTAGTACCTGTGGTACGGTGAGAGACGCCAGAGCTCCTAAGACCGACAGGAGTGACCTCAACAGCGGTTTTATCCCCTTGCTCAATGTGAGCGACAGACGACCTTGTAAGTGTAGACAAAACTAGAGGTTGAGGGAAAGAGCTCTGGGTAGAGATGGGGTCGCTTAACGCAGCGTTTGGGAGGAATTCGGAGCCGGAAATAGAGGTATAATGCTGGTTGCGACGTCTTCGTTTGATTAGCCCTTGTGGACTCCCACGCGGCCTTTCCATGTGTGGGATATCTTGACCTTCCACGGGCTTCATCTTATATATGAAGAGAAAAATGATGAGAATCAAGACGGTTTCGGGAGGCATGATGAACCATAATAGATATACGTTGCCCCTCCCCTTGTAAAAGAAAAGATGCTTTGCGTGACACGATTATTATGTATATACCGTTTCTGAAAGCGGAGTTCGAGGACTCCAAGCTTCTGACTGATAGAAACTGTAGGTGCAGTTAACCAGTCCCATTTGGATTCGGAATTTGAGGGTTTGTAAAGATTCGTATTGACCGCACGCTTGTCCTAACCCAGCACGCCGATTCTGACAAGGTGGAAGTACGCACAGCGAAGGTGACGGGAAGGAGAAAAAAGACGATGGCCTCCTGCCTTTCATGGCGGTGAGGTTGTTGAGGAAAATATGTCGTTGCAAATGGTAAAAGCCAGTCTTCAAAACCGGGTAAGGCGGTATCTCATCCACAGCAGACATCGTTCGCATCGTCGCCGTCTAATTACCAATTGTGGGCGTGGGCGAAATTTAAGGCACTTGCACAGGTTCGTTATATCGACGCGGTAATGCATAGACTGTGTGGAAAATATGTCATTCCTTGTTTTCACGGCAAGAATATACTGAGGGTGACGGGATGACCACCTACCTAACTTCATTGCATGAGGCGTATATATGGGTATGCGGTTTTCTTTGAGAGATAACCACAATGGCGTGGCTAATATCGGAGTATCAACGCTTAGCCTATACTATCGGACCTCAACATGCTATCACTGTAGGGCTCCCGCATTTCTACTCAACGTTTTTTGGAGGTGTCAGTGGCCTTCAAACAGCATCCAATGCCGTTTTTAAAAGATGCACCGAAGGTAGCGATGCGCCTTTCGCCGATAGAAGGAAAGGATGGCCAAAAGATGCAGATCAGGAGCACGTGTTGAGTTGGTTTGCAGATCTGAGCGGAAAGTTGGCAACATTCTCAGCGGACCACAATTCGGCTTCGTTCCAGCTGGTCATTCAAGTGACCATTTGGGAAGTTTAATCGGCCAAATTTAATAAATATTGAGGTACATTCCAAACAACCGCATTTTGAGGACCAGCCTTGACCGTGTCTAACATGGCATTGCAGAAATATAAATTCTTCGCAAATCCATCATACAACTTCAAGCTTCTCCACTAATATTACCTACCAACCACGAAGACGATGCAGTTCCTGGACTATGTGTCCCTTTTCTGCCTTTTCGCCGATGTCGCTTTTGGTGGCTCTCTGATTATCATCAACAACCACGACCAATGCATGGTGTGGTCAGAGAGTAACTATGGGTGCACAGGTTATTCGTCCCCTTTCGCTCGTCTCGATGGGAGAGATTGTTCAAGTAGGTTTTATTATGCTCTGGGCTCGGATGGTCAAGAACTGAAAATTTGCCAGGCTTCAATGTAAATGGTACCCACATCAATAACGAGACGCTGAAGCTCGATATATGTGGCACAATAGACGGGCGGCAAGTGGCATGGGTCAACGTTACGAAGGATGGCACCGTTTCTTTCCTAAATCAACAAGGAACCATCGGCACTTGCTCCCTGGATGACGATTTTAACGTGGGTAGCAAGTGCAGTGTTACGGAAACCGGTCCGTCGTATAGCGCAACCGCACTTCCCGTCTCGCGGCAAACATCTGCTACGACATCCATCACCAGCCAGCCTGGAGCTTCTTCGTCGGAAAGGGGAGTGTCATCAACTTTAATTGAAGGCTCCACTTCGACTTCACTCATCAGCCTATCCGAAGCTTCCAGTTCGGCAGAGCTCGTGGTATCGATTTCAGGATCATCATCGGTAGCGGGATGCTCTTGTATTGTAGTTAATACCTGAACCTCAGCTTAAACAATGGAGATCACTCTTTGCTTGGTAAATGGCCCTTGAAGCAAACAATTTATTCGTCCTTTCCTAGTTATCTTTGACGATAAGTTACATCAATTATGCTAAAGTCCGGTAGAAATGCGGCATGATGGGCCCAAAACCTCATATAGTGTTTTCCTTCAAACAGACTTCGGTGGTCCTGCACTGTTGTTGCATTGTTTAACGTCCGGCGGCCGCCGGGTGGGAACCCGGCTGCCTTGGTCCTGCACTGGAGACTAAGCTTGTACGGCTGAAAAAAAAAACGGAGATTGATCATGAAATAGGAGCGCGATCTAGCCTCGGACCGGAGCAGAGGGTGGAACAGGAAATCATATCAGCATTGTCGTGCTTCCCTTGTTAATTGCCTATTTTTGTTTGCTTAGCCTACTAGTGATCGTTTGTACATCTCCGGCCTCCTTCATCTTGCCTTGAGGTCCCTCTGGTTGGAGCGAAAGATTTCACCAGGAATTGTTCAAGTATCAGCCGAAGGCCACCATGTGCACGCAGTGACGCACAGACGGCGGCCGACAGGTCAAAGGTAATTCAAGGGAGGGTTTTTGTTTACTTTGCTTTACATTTTGTTATCTCGAAAAAGCAAGCGGGAACCCGAGTGAGGGTATCTATTAGTGTCTCATTAGCCGGTACCCACTATCTCGCGGTTTGACAGCACTCCCGAACAGCGTACACTTTTGGAGCGAGCTATATTGGGGGAATGTCATCATCTTCATCGTCATCGCTGTATCTAGGACGTGCAATATGACTTTACATAGGGACTAACTGTTTGCATGAACACTACTTAATATTGAAGCTTTCGAGACAGGGCACGGATGAGGGTTAATTGAGAAAAAAGTAGTATCTACCCAGCGAAATATGAGATCGAGAAGCGGCTCATTAAGCGGAAAAGTAGATTCACTCGCCTTACGCAGTGCTCTTGGTGTGAATTGTAGACGACGTTCCAAAAATGCGGCCGTGGGCAGGAGAAGTCAAATATGAGAGCCTGATTTACCCTTGAGAACATTCTTTTGGTCCGGGGAGCTATCTTTCACATGTGCTAAACAAAGTTCGGTAAGGTAAACACACAATCGATTGGTCTTGCTTCGAGCCTGTCGGTTGGCCATTTCCGTGACTTCAGCTCCACGGGCGTCATCTGTTCCCGTTTATGATTTGCCAAGCAATGCGCCATATCGAAATTTCGTCGAGCCAATTCTCCGGCATGAGGGAAAGTGACAAAGCACGACGAGAATCGTCGGAGTTAGAAAAATATTCATCTAGGGCTTAGTCAGACACCCGATTCATTTGGCCAAATATCAGAGGTATGTTTCTCTCCGGAGCTGTGCAGGGCCTCCAAACTGTTGATTGTAATTCATAATTCAGGGACTAAAAGCGTGGAAGGTCCTTTCCAAACTCACCGAGGGCAATTATGCGCACGGTAGATCAAGGCAAATGGTGGTCTCGCCGGATTTGCCGTATACCATGCCGTATCAAATGGGAATGCCCTCTATACAACTGGACTGAATGAAACTCTGCACCTTTTTCAGTCTCAAACCTATTCGATTGGGCATATTCCACATACCCAATTTGGAAGTATCATGTAACAGGTTGTCCTCAACGTTGCAATAACAGTACGGATCCGGTGACTGCAGAGTCTTCAGCATTATCCGGCACGATTTCTAAGTCGGGTTACGGTAAAAATACAATACAGTACCTTCTCATTTTGTAACCAATACTTTGGACCAATGACCAGACTAATGACCTGATCGAGTATGTTGAGCAGCCTGTGACCTGTACGAACTGGAACGGAACTTACTGGGATCGAAAATAACACGGTAGTTAACCAAGGGAGTACGCGGAGTACCATATTGTCAGACACTTCATTTGCAATACTGCTTAAACACAGTATTAGTGAGAATGTTGATAGGCCCTGTTTCTAGCAGAATCGTAGCCGACATAGATTCTTTATAAGCCCAGCCGTCAGCCTAGGAGAGCCTCAAATGACTGATCCAGGTTCTATCGTTAGAGACAACTATCTGCTTGCAAGAAAAAGGAATGACTCCAATACGAACACCCTGGCTTTCGATCGTAAGTCGTTTATGAAATCTATTATACAGAGCGTGGTTGCGTGTTAATGTCTTCTCGTCCAGTTGAAACCAAACGCTCAATCCTTGGTTTAGACATAGAGAAACTACGCGTCATTTTCGAGGGCCGGTTAATTGAATCCATACAAAATTGTTCTCCAGTCAGGTTCAGACTGTGACCCATCTATTGTCTATAAGAGCTGGTCTCCAATCAGTATCACGCGTTGGTCAAAGTTCATAACTATCGCGACAACTGAATCTTTCGAAGTGCACCTATGTCGCCACCCAGTTCCTATGATGACACGTCTTGTAGCGGAGCCACGCTGGGTTCTCAGGATTCAGAGCCGCAGGATGTCCCAAACTCAGAACTTGACTCCGATTATGTCCCTTCGGAAATGAGCGAAGATCGAGCATTCCTAGCTTCCGATACAGAAGAGCTCTCTTACGTCTCAGATAACAGTTCCAATATGGAGGATCCTGTAATGAGCATTATATACGACTACTCGAGCCATGGGATCGAAAGGTATGATCAGAACCAGTGTGTGTTAGGGTCTCGCTCTCCTCACCATCAGATACCGAGCCTCGAGAAGAAAGCCATCTTCACTTTTCGCCGGGTATAAATCGATACTCAGCCAGTCAGCTATTCTGTTTCCGCAGGTCGCAAATAATCATATGCTGGAAGTCACGCAGTTCCATCAACGTTACCTCAGGATGCTCAGACGAAACATGATTCGCTGGGTAATGCTCACATGACCTGCCTAACCAAGTTGGGTTCAGCTCAGAAGTTTCGTCTGAGGGTATTTTGAAATTTTGCCAAGAATTATCGACCAACAGCTTGACCGCTCCTTTGGTGTGTGAATTTCGATCTCAACGTTCTCAACAACCACGGACCTGACCGTCTTCAATCTTACAAGCGTCATAAATGCGAACTGGACAATTACTTTGATACAAAGCCTTACCGTGCTTTCTTCCTTCCAAGAAAATTGGGGTTTGATACAGTATAGCTACGAGCATCAATTCGAATACCCTGTTGGGTATTATCGTCTCACTATAAACTAAGTAATTCGGAGATTGATCTCGCCCTTGTCAGCCCGGGCCGCCAAAGTCTGCTTCTCTGATGTGAAAGGGCAGACTCCATTGAGCACTCTTTAGACCACTTCCCAATCGAGACCATCCCAGACATCCAAATACCTGTTCTAAAGCCCCTAAGCGCCGTAACTGGGCCGCCACGGATGACAAAAAGGGTCAAGAAAATGGTGATCAGCACCGTATTAAGCGGCATGGCCTGTTCCCCCGGATCGTATCTCTCATTTCAACACCGCCTGGAGAGGAATTTATCTCATTTGGACTAATCCCAACTCACCAATCTAGGATTTATCTTATGATCAACATTTGTCTAGTTTGCCTAGCTAAAAATACGGTACTACTAACTCAAAAAGTGGAGAAATTCTATTTCATGAGGCGTCTGTCCGACCTGGCTGCCTTTCAACCAATACATCTCTGAATGCAAGCAAAGAGACCATGGCAAAATTGCCCGATGTACTAGAGGTCAAACGACACGTTTTGCACAGAATGCAGTAACTTTTACGTGCGGGCATTTCAAGGTTATAGTTGACATATCCGTTATCGAAAGACTCGGCGTTTTTGGGACCAATGGTTCTCTCTCTTACTATCCTCTGGAGCTTCCTTTAATCAATTTCTATTGAAGAGCAGCAAGACCTTTTTAAAAAATCATCTTCTACAATAAACAAAATAACCAAACTAAACTAAATACACAAAAACTATCACTTTTTCAATCCTTTTTACTTGCTAGACGAGACCGAGTTCGACGTGCTGGAGGTGTACCGACATCTGTAGGCTCCAATCGCTTCTGAGTTGACCTTATCTGCTGCGGTCGTACAGACTCGGACACAGGTATAGAAGTAGGTGTCGAAGTAGGCGCAGAAGCAGATTTAGAGACTTGCTGCTTTTGCTGAGTCGATTTCTTTGATCGAGTCCTCTGTAATTGTACAGATTTAGGGGCAGACGTAGGAATCGACACAGGAATCGACGCAGCGGCAGGAATTGACGCAGGAATCGACGCAGGAATCGATGTAGGAATAGATGCAGGGGCCGGTGTAGGAGCAGGAATCAGCACAGGGGCAGGAATCGGCGCAGGGGCAGGAATCGGCACAGGCGCAGGAATTGGTGCAGGCTCTGAATTCAAAGGCCAAATAAACTGAGGACAAGCTGTCCGCTCTTTTAGCGCCATTGGCACTTCTTTTGCGTGTCGTACAACCTCTGCTTCTGCTATAGAAGCAGAGTATAGATCAAATGGCTCCCCTTCAGGTGGTGGTTTACCATAAATAATGACATCAGGATGGAACAAAGGCTCTCCTCCATCATCAGAATCACCTCGAGCAACTGCATCATCAATTCTTTGTATATGTGCCCTCATCTCTGCCTCAGTCATGAAGTATTTGCGATGCGTACGAGGACGAAATGGATGTTCATGAGGTTTTGCAAGAGTTTCAATATCAATAACCACTGGCTCAGAGGCGTCAAGATCAATGATTGATACCTCTGACTCTGGAGCATCTGGTGCTTGTGGCTCAGGAGCAATTGGTGTCTCCAATTTCAAAGCAGTTGGCGAAGCAGGTCCTGGAGAAATAGGATCTGATTTGATCTCTATCGTACGAGGCTTCTTGTCAAGAATGACATAGATCTTAGCACGTTTCTCTCGCTCCACATAATCAAATTGATCATAGAGATCCCCGAGATCTTGAATATGATCAAGATTATTGGAGATCAATGTAGGACATTTCGTTGTACAATGAGTTGCCAATATGATAGTATCACCTAATTCAGGCTCGAATTTGAACTTCTCTTCTCGTATTGTAGGAAGAAGATCTCGACGAATAAAGTCCTCAAAGTCCAAGATCGTACGACGTTGTAGGATATGAGCAACTCGATCTAAAGTTAATCTCAGTTTTTGAAGGATTATTATTCAATAAGCTTACCAACTTCTTTATAACCTTTGTCCTTTTTGATCCAGAAGTTAATCACTGTTCGGAGCTGGCGAAGTGGGATTTGGCTGATCATGTCTTGCTTGTTGTCGGGCTTGTGAAACTGTAGATGTCGTACGATGACTTCTAAACTGCGGACTCGCTGTCGCTGGGAGTATTGAGAAGAGCTTCCAGGTGTTAAGAGCTTCCAGGTGTTCTTCCACGAATAATAACCCTGACGTCGTCGTTCAGTATAACCTGATAGGTGAGACTGAGCAATCGATGGAGCACGAGACGGTCGAGGATAAGATTCTGGAATCACAAGAGCACCATATATCTGGAATGTGCCCCAAAACAGAAGGCACACAACACTAATGGCAACTAACCGTGACATCTAGATGAGCGATTAGGTCTTACTGTCGCACCTGGTCGGGTCCGCTTACAGCCCTCCGAAGCAGACGGCTATGCATGGTCGGCGTCAAAGTCTCAAGAAAATTTGTTGAGATCGAATTTAAGTAATGGAACGGTCGGCTTGTACCAGGCGATACATGATGCACTCGGGTGCTCTATCGAAGCTGTTAGTCCGCAGACGTTGCGCGAGTCTGATGCAGGCCCCTATAAAAGTATTAGCGACGAGGTGAGCAACCAATGTTTGCTGGGCTTCCCAAATGCTGAAAAACCCAAGCAGCCAAGCATATCGAAGCTTTCCGAGCCACTCGGGACAGCTTTAGAGAATCATTCTTTCACGGCCACTATTCGACGACTCGAAGACGCAAACCGGGAACTTACTGCTAAGCTTGAACGCGGCCAAATATGTTCAGAGGAGTTACTCGAGGAAAGGCAGCAGTGGGAGGCAAAGTATCGCCGGATTTATGAGGCTCTCGACAATAGCAAGTTTTTGGTGAAACAGCTGAAGAAAGACCTGAATCGCGTGCAAATGGGGATTGCAGAAGCTATGGAGATATGAAAGAGCAACCAGCTTCCAGAAAAGAAAGAATCCTGCGCGCAAGAGGATATTTAGGTTTAATATAGCTAGCGCTTCATCAAGTTGCTTGAAGGCCTGTTGCCTCTCACCATTCTTAAGCATGATCTTTCCGCCCCGTCTAACAGGTCACTCCGAGTGGTCGCTGAACCCTGTGGGTTGCCTCCAGAGCCCATGAATCAGACCCCGGCGACAAATCTTCGGGGGACTGGGTGTAGTGAGGGTGTAGCGAGTGCCATATACATGACGTTGAAATTCTCGGATACTTTTGATCAACATAAACAATATACTGCTGACGCAAGTGCTTGTCGAAAATAGCCAATGAGCTGCTGAGCAGCAACCTTGCCTACACCTCTTTGCAGCCTTTAACAGCGATTAGGGGGCTGGCCCAACATCTTGACTCTAGGATATTGCTCGCTTCTATGGCAAGAAGCAGTGTGCGTTTCCCTCGACTTCCAGACTGAAGAATTATTCTAATCATTAGCAGGGTGTTCATTGCGTTAAGATTCCAATAGTGGAGTTAGGAGGAGGTAGACATAACAAGGATTCAACTCCAGAGTGCTTCAACAAGTAAGGAAAACGGGATGTCTATGTGAACGTGGATGGGGTTCTGGATAAATGCGATATCCAACATATTGTCGGCGTCTATGCTAGTTCTCCTACCTCAAATTGAAAGCTTGTTACATTGCATTATATTTCATTCTTGATACCTCAATACTGTAAGCTTTAAACTTGGGTCGGTGCTCACTCTCATTCCACCTGGCATAGTCAAATCTACAATCGGTGCGCAGGCTGTAGGCCTTCAATCAAAAGCAAGGTAAATCCGCCAGCCAGCCGTATATAGGATGGCTGAATCCTGCACATAATAAGTGGACAGATCAGAAGGCTTGTCTTCAACCTCATTGAAATAACCTCTGCATGTAGCTTGCTTAGTCTCTTCATAGATCAGGTCAACAAGCCACAGCCACCCAGCCAGCCACACATATCTGTGCTTAGAGTGGTCAGTTGCTGCGCAACGCCCATTACAATAACAATCCCACCTACATCTCAGCATTGCTTTGGTCTTTTGTAAGAGCACGTCATGTCGGAACGCACGTCGTTGTTGTGCCACATCATCGGGGTTTGGTAACCTGGGCCATGTTGTGGTGAAGACAGATTGTATGGTGAACTGATTTCTGCATGTATACTTCATTTATTCTAGGATATCATCCAAAGGGCAGGCTGCTAGCATATCCAAATTGTCCTGGACTAGATTCCAAGACATTATATCAGAAGGGGTCAAAGTCTGGTAGCCATTGTCAGATTTGCAAAGGAGAAGATTGAACTTTGAATAGCGGCCTCCATATGAGAAGTCTCCCCAGGCAAGTACTTGCAGGTTCGGCAGACCATCAGCACTGAACGCCCACTGCGCAAGATCATGTATTTCCTCGGGTTTGTATGGCAAATCTGCTTCCGATTTTAGATTCCATCACACTTCTAAGCGTAGTCTTCGACAAGTGGAATCAGCTTACCGTCGCCATAATCATAAGTATAAAGAGACTCAGAGAACCAGCTGGGCTGCCCAGAGGTGATTAGTCTATCAAGGATTACCCCACTTATCCTAACGTGTATCAATTTGCATGACGGCCTGGGCTGCATCCTTTGTAAGTGACTAGCCTAGTTCTCAGTTAGCAATCATATGAAACTCAAGATCCGCGATCAATACGTACTAACTTCCCAGGTGGGATAGAAGATCCAAAGCACGACAATTGATTTTCTTGCAGTATGCGTTCCAAACGCAAAGACCATGGTATATCTCCATCGATGAGTTTCTGACCACCTCTATCCACCAGGTGGTGCATAACAAAGCGCTTGATATGACGATGACTTGATAGTCTATTTGTGAGAGTGGTCCAATCAATAGGCTCAGGAAGCATTAGATAGAGACTCTCTAGGCCGCAAACGTGATGAATGAGATTGCAGATCGTCTCCGTGATATGCATATGTCCACCTCTCGGAAGACTATTGAGATCGAGAGCAAGTTCGACTGATTTCAATCTCATTGGCATTCGAGGATTGAGTATCATTTGTAGCCAGTCAAGAGATCCTGGGCAGTTCCGCAATTTTAGACTCTTGAGGCGTTCGATATTGAAAGCATGAGCCATTTCCATGGGGGTATGATAAAAAGACACAGCCGACAGATGAAGATTCTCAAGAGACAAAAAAACGACTTTCTGGTCTCCTGGGTGGACGTTAAGCACTCTTTCCGAGAAGAAGTTATTAGGAGTACTTGTGGGCTGGGGGTTCTGGCAGCGGTATCCATCAGCCCAGATCTTCTCCGCACGAACCCAAGTCAAAAGATCAAGAGTTAGTGATTGGATTTGATAGCCATGAACTTCGATACACTTTCTGACGGATTCGAAGTCGTTAAATCGGTTTAAACCCCTCCAATCAAGGGACCGTAATCCTCTAAATTGAACAAGATCCACAGAGTACTGCGCGTTTGTATTCGCACCACATTCGCCATCCGTAATGAAGGTAATCGATTGAATCTGTCTTTGATTTCCGAGAAAGGAGTCCTTGCTGCCAAAGAGAGCCTCTGGAAGACATGTTCCTACCTCCCACCTAGATTCACGTAAGTGGGCTGGCCAAAGTAAGAAACCCGATACTAACCGGAAACTTCGTAATTGATCATCTGGAAACCTCAGAGCATCTAACGCAGAACTTAAATTGAAGAGAGGGCCCAAGATGCGCCCCTGTGCTATTTTATTAATTTTCTTGACTTCACGTGTCTGGTGTTAAAAGCAAGTGCCTTTACTTACATTGTCCGTTCCCTCGGCTGTGTCCTCATAGTCCATATTCCCATCCTGAACAGCCTCGTCAACGAAGTGCCCATTACCACCCTGGTGTACACAGCGGGATTCGAGTCGCTCATGGATTGGAACAATGAAGCCGAGATGTTGTGTGTACTTCAAGTATTTCCATGGTATCGCCTCAAGATTCGCAGTTAAATCCTCTAATGACAGCTCCGGTGCCGATAGTACAAGAGACTGATATAGATGTGGAATGGCTATACCATGGAGACGCTTGCAAACTTCACAAAGACGCTTCAGGTCCCTACGGCTGGCAATCTTTAATGGTGAGCGAGTGAAACAGGATTTCAAGGGAACACTAACTAACTTACTTGGCCAATTACCATAGCCAATAACTCCGACGGAAGCGCGGCCAGCATATTGATTATTGTTATTTCCGGCGGGTACACTCACGTGATCAAGGAAGCACCACACCAGGCCTAGATTGAAAACCAGCAGTGGATTGTAGTCCTGAGTGGCAATACGGTGGTGTAGGAAGTGCAACGTGAAAGTAAGGAGTTTTTTTTTGTCGGTTGTTAGTGTCGTGGTTCTAGGGCGGTGGCAGAATTACAGACCGGGCCCTACGCCTACGCCACAGCCAGGTACATACAAGACAAGAATTCGGGACAATTGAGATGTGGTGATTCTAGTGAGCAGCTCAGAGATCGCTCAGATGCTTAAATTATGACAAGATCTAGACTAAATCTAACTGGGCCAGGAGCAAAGGGGATAAAGCTGTAAGGATGGGAATAGTGTGATTGCGTCCACGGGTATGTTTGTGTAGTACTAGAGGGGAGCTCCTGTAGGTAGGAATAACTATTATCGGTTTGCCCGACTCCCAAGCATCACATAGACAACTATATTCATTGTCCCATCCTGCGGTCACTCAAGACTTATCTTGTTTTGTGGCGATCTCGCAGTGTTTGATAATCCAGGGGTGTTGACGCACGTTCTCCAAAGAAATCCTTTCATCCGAATTAAGAACGAGTAGCTTGATCTTTGTTAGTATTTGGTTGATGTTATTTATGAGAATGAACTCACCTTTTTTATAAGATCCTTGGCTTCAGAGCTAACAAAAGAAGGAATCGTCATATCCCCCTTAGCAATGCGCCTAGTTGTCATACCAGGCGTATCCTCAAATGGTGCCCTTCCAACCAGGAATTCGTACATCAAGACCCCTAGTGCCCAGTTGTCCACTTTGTGATCGTAAGGATTCAGGCACCTCCTCGGATCTACCATTTCGGGAGGCAAGTAGTCCAAGGTTCCACACATGGTGAGCCTGCGACCACTGGGCGCATGAACACTCCAGCCAAAATCCGACACCTTCAACTCTCCGTGGAGACCAACAAGAATATTCTCAGGCTTTATGTCTCGGTGAATGACATGTTTACGATGCAAGTACCGTAAAGCACTCGCCATTTGTGCAATGTATTGTGCTGCTTTCTGCTCAGGGAACCGATCTTCTCTTTGAAGGTGCTTGTATAATTCCCCTTTGCCAGCATACTCGAGAATCAGAATTATTCGCTTCCGATCGTGAAAGTGACCGTATAAGCGTAAGACGTTGGGGTGACGCAGATTGCTCTGAATCTCGATTTCACGAGCTACCTGTTTTTCGACCCTTCCTTGTTGGATCTCATGCTTGTGGAGTACCTTCAAAGCACAAACAAAACCAGTCTGCCGTTCTCGTGCGAGGTATACTCGACCAAATTTACCCTTTCCCAAGGGTCGACCAATTTCGAACATGCCTAGGTGAAACAGCTTGGGGACAGGCTGTTCTATCAGCTGAACGATATGCTCTTCTGTCTTCCCAGATGTATTGGCTTTTTGCGACCGAGAGAGGGCGTGTCGAACTAAGGGAAGAGTTTGTCCGTCTTTTGCTTGAGTCACTTGGGAGACGAGTTGATTGGCGGCTGCTTTTTGCCACTTGTCATCGCCCGCACTGTCTTGTTCTGGCTTAAACTCTGCATCCGAAGCGAGCGACATGATAGCAGAGAGGGGATGTCGAGCCCGAGAAGAAGCTGGTTGGTCTTTGGCTTGAGTAGATTGGGTGGTGATACCATTAAGGTTTGCGCTTCGTTGTTCGTTATCGGTGATGTAGATTTCGCTGGCCTTTGCGACTTCATCGGGGGTCTGCGTCGAAGTGACCGAGAGAGGATTTCGAGATTGTCGAGGAGCTTTTCCTCCTTTTGTTCGATTTTCTTGGGAAGAGACAGGTTCAATAATAGTGCATTGTGGATTGCAACTACTAGACTTGTGGCTCTCCGGTGGTTGGGATCTGCCCGATGGACGTGAGCCGGTGCCTGCGACCTTCTCCCTGTTGTCAACTGTGCTCTCTCTCAAAGCGTTTTGTAAGGGCACGGTATAGCCCACTTACCTTGGAATTCCGGTTTGAATTGGTCCCATCTTGTCCAACCTTCTCATCTTGAACAGATAAATGCTTGAAACGAGCCTCGAGCGCTTTGGTCGCCATACTGGTTTCGCTACCGTTTCACCGTTGCTTGACTTGAAGGAAACGAGAAGGACCTCGGTGAAAATTTTGTTTGGGTAGAGAAATGCAGCTCGAGATGCCTCTTGTGGATGATGGAGGTAGCAAGGGGCTTTGGTTGTTGTTAGAATTGAGCATAATATATCGTGTTTCGGAGGGCAATTTCGTGTTGTCACAGTAACTGGGTCACCATGGAGACCGAGTTTGCTGAACGGGAGAATAATTGGCTGCCCCACATAACGGGATCGCCTTGGGTGCTTAGGTAATGATCAGGTGATACTCAGCGAGTGATTATTTTGAGACAAGTGTCTAGTCTGTAGTGGGGTAGCGATACCGAACTAGAAAGGGCGAATTTAATAACTAATGACTGCCAAACTTGAACAGGGAATATGAAAATCTCGTTTGTTAAAATTACACTGTATGATTCAACCATTGGGCAAAAAGATCATAACAACAATCGGAACGTCCGATTGTCGCTGCAGCAGCATATATAGTAGACCATTCAAAGCCTAAGCTTTGACTGATATTCGACAAAGCCTAATAACTATTGCCAACTCAAACCGGGGAATAGCGGTCCACCGTTTGCCTGCGCCGAGGTAGACCGTATCGCGGGGTTGACACACCTTCTTCGGTGCCTTTGCTCTTGCCACCCGCGGTTTGAACTGCCTCGCAAGGTCCGCCTTTGTATGAAGAATCGCTCCTCGCGTTGGAACTCCGCCCAGAATGCCTAGAATTTCCGGCCTTGCGGCTCTTGAGGCGTGTGCAATAGCGCACCTGGAGGGAGCCTTCCGACCTCCAGGAAAATACTCTGCGATTCGTTTCCATGGCAGGCTCCGCTCTTCCTTCAATTCAATCAAAAGCTGGTCGTCCTTAGACAGGAATCGGGTTAGCCCGGTCGTTTTCCCAGCGCGGGACCCTTTCTGGGGGGTTGCTTGGTAAGCTGGCTGCCAATTTTGTTTCCATAATGTGAAGTAGCTCTGCCTGATCTCTGAGTGCAGGAATGCTCTGCCTGCTCTTCATAACTGAATAAATGACCCTTGACAAAAGTATCTGTCGCGTAAGAAAACCTCGGATAGGAATCGTTTCGATATCGTGCAAGCTTGTTGGGGAAGTCTGATCTGCGGCCACTTTGGATTGAACTGCCTCGTCGACCGAGAGGCGTTTAGTGTTCTGCCGGGGAGGTCTAGGCTTAAGCTGCACGGCAGGTCGCTTTGCTCTTTTCAATCGATGGAAAGGAACGCTGTTTCCATGTGCGTCTTCACCACTTTTGCCCACGTAGTTCGCATCGTCGGGGCCATTAGGGTCATCGCTGCTGTCATCAGATATATACTCATCCCGGTCTCGCTTCCTGTTCGAAGAGGCCATTCGTGTTATTGTGACAGTATCCTTCGTTCCTCCCTCTTGGGAACGGCAGTTGGAGATGACGACCGACGGCTGGTCCAACACTGGAGCCGGATCCAACACTGGACAGAATCCTACAACTTCCCCTGTTGGGCTGCATGGCGACTGCTTCTCACTGTCTTGAAATGTGCGCGCGATTGAACGCGTCAATGTTCCATTTTGAAGAAGTTTTGGAGATGCTGACAAGCTCCCTGCACCACGACGCTGTAGCTCGCCTTCATTGTCATGAGCTGCAGCCCTGTCTTTCTCCTGGCCAATAACTCCATGGCTTTCGGAAACGGGCTGTCTGTTGTACTTCTCGGCCGGCATGCTTTTCCCGATAGCGCAAGCTGCCCGTTTCGACCCTAATTTGTCTGCTTCAATTCCAGCATCTCCAGGCAACAAATCAGTTGGAGTGGATTGCTTTTCCTGACCCGCATGGTCAAGAACTTGGCCATTGACCATTGTATTGCCGTCTGCTATATCTATTGTCGGGTTGGAATGTGGCAAAATGTCTCCCTCCATCGTGGCTTCGTCTGCATTCTACCACGTGAGCCAGAGGACTGGACAGCCTAGCTGACTGAGAGAGCACTGACCTGTATTTTCATATGCTTCTGTTCGGCTTAGAATTTCTTCCTCCGCCACCGGGATGCAGAGGCCATCACGGACCGATGTAGAGTATAAAGGTGTGGATTGCTCAAGACCTCCCCCCTGGGTAATATCTTGAGAAGAAGATGTCACGTTGCTCTCATGATGCTCGTCACCTTGGAAGTCTGGTCTCAAAGTGCGAAGTCAGCCCTCTATTGCCGACCACTTTATTGTTAAGGAAAGAGAGATAGGGCACAATGAGTTCAACAGAATGACTTAAAGAAATCAAGGGGAGTCAAAATGATGGCCACCACGTACCATCGTGACGCTGGTCGGATAAACCTTGCCCTAAATCACTGCTGGAAACATCATCCGGCAATTCTCGACTCGCCATGTGTATATTCGATATAGCAACGTTTGCATCTCTTTCAGAAGAGGCATTCAAGAAATCCATGTCAAACTCATTCGAGCTGTCAATGGTCACTTCTTCCGCAAGCTTGTTGGGGGCTAATAACGTATCGACTTCACTAGATGCATGGAAATGACCACGGGATATATTGACTTCCTGATTGGTGATAGACAAAAGCAATTTTGCTCAACATAGCAGTGTCTAACCGGACGCTTCTTGTTTTGATCCCAGATCCTACAACCCGGTCAACTATTACCCTGGGAAGTATGTGTAAAAGATACGTGGAGCGATTTCTGGAGGGGATCCACTTGACATCCCCATTCTTCATCCGCCGATTAAATTATATATTAGACGCCCCTCACGAACTTCTCTCTGGGTAAAACAGGCCGTGTGGACAATTTAACAAAATTTTAGCCCCGCAAGGCTCGGATGGTCATATATCTTTCGTGCATCGACTTGACCATTGTGGCCAAAATATCGGAGGATGGAACTATCCCTGACCACCAATTAGTTCACCAATGCCGCTCACCGGGGCCACTACGCTCGCTTAGCCGGACGTCAGAAAGCACTTAACTCGACACAGTCTCTGGAGCACGGCCAGCCTCGACCATGTCTCAGTGGATATGCACGGCGAACATACGTTCAATAATGTCCAGCGCACTAGAATGCGTCTCTTGAACGAAATACCTTGTGTGTTGGTCATCTCCAGAGTAAAAATGGAAACTATAGAGAGTGTAGAATATATTTATAGGCTACGCAGATCAGTGTTCACGTGATGACAGCCCGTCAGCTGGCAGTTTTTCATATATTCATTTGTCACGCAAACTGTATGATAATGAGATCGGGATATCCTAGCGCGAGTACGTACAAAGTTTCTTAGCAAAATGTGGAATACATACGTTTTGGTCTAGCGGAGCGGCAGCGACATAAGTCCCGCTAAAGATGGGGGTGAGGAAATCGGTTAATATCATTCTTTCCTTCGGAATAAACTTATAAGGGCTGCTCTCAGGATTTGCAAGCTAGGCGCAACGCATATACCGAATAGTCAAAGCAAAGTCTCACTCGACCTTTATAATCACTTGCGGAACTCACTGCGTGGATTTTGATGCAGGCATGAGGTTGTTGGAAGACCTCATTATTTAGTCGCTCTTTGTCCTAAATGGAAGGGCGGCACAAGAAACCCAAAGCGGGAAGTGCAGATCAAAAGCATTAACAAAGAAGAAAGTATACGAACATTAATGGTCTTTATGGTATCAGAACAGTTCTATTGAAAGAGTTCAAGCTTAAAACTGCATGCATTCTAGACATATACATCGTGGAATCTAGATAGATGGCCACCACATTTCACTATGTTTATGCTGGCCTCAAGCACTAAAGGCTAGATCTTACTCGCTTGAGAAGCCTTATGGAAATTGCCATAGGCAATGTATTGCCCTCCCGGGCACATGAAGAATTCGGACCCAGTTTTGTCGTTCAGTCTATGAGTTATAGAAAAGGCAGTAGTTACTTACCCGTCGTACACGTGGAGAACGTGGAGAACGGTTCGCTTGGTAATTACACATAAATATTTTGTGCACACTGCATATGAGAGCATAGGCTATTTTTCTACTGTCAAATACTTTATATTATCATATCCACAAATGGGCAAAGAAAGGTGACTGTAACACACGATATTTTCATTTTGGATAAAAGCTGTCTACTTGGATACAATTGAGGGTTGAGATTCTATAGATATAGTGTTCGTTTCTTCAATTCCCATATGCTACAACTATGAAAGTTGATAGGCAATCAGCATTTGAACTATTCCATGAAAACATTGACTTCCACACCTCGAGTCACGTGCCATGAACGATATAGCAGACATTGTGCGAGCAATTGGTCACCAACAAGGAGAATATGCATACTATCGCGCCTGCTACAGTCTCTTCAAGCAGCTACAGGACTTGGTGGCTAAAGTGACCGAGGACTTGAATGGTCTTTGTGAGAGCCAGCAGTGCAACCCTTCTGAAGGGTTTTTAGCTGTCTCTCAAGTTGCCGAGGATTTCAGGTCGTCAGTCCAAAGCATCTCCGCCCACGAAAAGAATGCCCGACTGGCATTGGCCAACCTATGTTCGTCCAACAAACCACAGACCAACCCTGACAGGGCAGGTAACGCTGAATAGAAGATCATGGCTATCTTGATGGATTCGTTTCTGTGTTACTGCCAGAGCAAGGACATTGTTCTATATGGAAGTTGATAAAAGGTATTCCATAACGCTGGCAGGATTGCGGAGTAGTCTAAGTTCATTTTAAAAGGCATAGCACGGTTGGCACCTCAAAAGATTGTCCTATCTACGAGGTTATATGTCTCTGACTGATTACTGCTTTGCTTGTCTTGATCGAATGAAGTCTGCTGAGCGCAATGTAGCTATCAAATACTAGCTTCCCACCCCTCCGCAGCGATTCGCAAGTGATATAAGACTCCAGTTTCCCCGTTTGAGTCTTTTCCCGTTTATGATTTGCCAAGCAATGCGCATTTACACCTATCCCCCCACTTTGAGGTTGGCCTTTCAATTCATCGTCGCCAGACTATAATTCACTGGCCATATATTTCTCTGCGAGCTGAATCATCTCTATTCTACCGGATTAAACTAATTTTACCAGAGCCTATGTAACTCATTGGAGTCAGTCCGGCTCCATCGTTGGTGAAACTGCGTGACTGCCAGCACATGATTCTTTGCGATCCGAGGAAACAGCATAGCTGACTGGCTGAGTATCGATTTATACCCGGCGAAAAGTGAAGATACAAACCTCCGCGTTCTAAATCCTTGGCCGGTGCATCCTGAATTTTAAGCGCCGATGACAGATCCAGATACACGGTGAATCTAATTTAGTCAGATACCCAATTCATTTGGCCAAGTATCAGAGTAGTATGTTTCTCTGAGGAGCTGTGCAGGACCTCCAAACTCTTGCTTGTAATTCATAATTCAGGAACCAAAGCGTGGAAGATACTTTCCAAACTCACCGAGGGCAATTATGCGCACGGTAGATCAAGGCAAATGGTGGTCTCGCGGGATTTGCCGTATACCATGCCGTATCGAATGGGAATGCCCTCTATGTAACTGGACTGAATGAAACTCTGCACCTTTTTCAGTCTCAAAACCTTCTCGATTGGGCATATTCCACATACCCAATTTGGAAGTATCATGTAACAGGTTATCCTCAACGTTGCAATAACTGCACGGATCCGGTGACTGCAGAGTCTTCAGCATTATCCGACACGATTTCTAAATCGGGTTACGGTAAAAATACAATACAGTACCTTCTCATTTTGTGACCAATACTCTGGACCAATGACCAGACTAGTGACCTGATCGAGTATGTTGAGAATCCTGTGACCTGTACGAACTGGAATGGAACTTACTGGGATCGAAAATAACACGGCAGTTAACCAAGGGAGCACGCGGAGTACCATATTGTCAGACACTTCATTTGCAATACCGCTTAAACACAGTTTTAGTGAGAATGTCGATAGGCCCTGTATCTAGTAGAACCGTAGTCGACATAGATTCTTTATAAGCCCAGCCGTCAGCCTAGGAGAGCCTCAAATGACTGGAATTTTACTATCTCGTAATCTCGCAATCCAGGTTCTATCGTTAGAGACAACTATCTGCTTGCAAAAAAAAGGAATGACTCCAATACGAACACCCTGGCTTTCGATCGTAAGCCCTTTATGAAATCTATTATGCAGAGCGTGGTTGCGTGTTAATGTCTTCTCGTGCCGTTGGAACCAAACGCCCAAGGGAAACTACGCGTCATTTTCGAGGGCCGGTTGATTGAATCCATACAAAAGTGTTCTCCAGTCAGTTTCCGACTGTGACCCATCTATTGCCTATAAGAGCTGGTCTCTAATCAGTATCACGCGTTGGTCAAAGTTCATAACTATAGTGACAACTGAATCTTTCGAAGGGCACCTATGTCACCGCCGAGTTCCTATGATGACACGTCTTGTAGCGGAGCCACGATGGGTTCTCAGGATTCAGAGACCCAGGATGTCCCACACTCAGAACTTGACTCCGATTATGTCCCTTCGGAGATGAGCGAAGATCGAGCATTCCTAGCTTCCGATACAGAAGAGCTCTCTTACGTATCAGATAACAGTTCCAATATGGAGGATTTTGTAATGAGCATTATATACGACTACTCGAGCCATGGGGATCGAAAGGTATGATCAGAACAAGTGTGTGTTAGGGTCTGGCTCTCCTCACCATGTTATCCAGATACCGAGCCTCGAGAAGAAACTCATCAAAGCGATAGCAAAAAGAGAAATCACTCGAAACGGTCAGCTAAGGACTGAGTATCTAGTCCTCTGGTGCTCTTGGGAAAGCTTGAATTTGTGGGATGGCAAGCAAAACCGGAATCAGTAAATGTACAACTTTCTTTGTCCTTTTCTACAATCCTATAGCAGAATTAAAGAACATCGACGAGTTGTGAAACTCCAGTTCCCTTTCCTGATTTACCACCGAACTAACCCAAGCCAAGGTTGATAATAAAAAGTCGCAGACATTACATGTCAGCACGTGACCACATGGATTATGTGAAGATTTGATCGTAGGAAAGAAAGCTAAAAATGCCCCGAACAGCCTCACGACTTCCCCTTTTCAAGTCTCTGATAAATGGATAAATGAATGGAAGACAGGGCTCCTTGTGCAGCTTAAGGTGATATTGCCGATAATTTCGATTCTCGTCAAGGAATCCAGCCAACACGGGTTCAAGCTTGATGCCTCCGTTTGATAGCCCATGCAAAATTGCCGTAAGCGAGAAAAAGTCTCGGAGGTGCCAGGGCTCCTATTAAGTGTGAGTCTTTGGCTGGTCGGGTATTATGATGAAACCTACCTGAGCGAGCCCCAGTAGTTTGGTATTCAGGCGTCCTGAAGCTGCAATCTCCTCTGCCTCGTGACAGAGACAGCTCCATCGACGAGCGATAGCTTTCAGATGACAGTCATCGTTCCAGATGCCTTCAAGACTGATTCGGCGAAAGGATTGTAGTATTTCGCGAGTGATTATTCTCGAGCTATTGACTGGAGACTGATCGGTGACAAGAGTTAGTAGCGGGGTGGCAATTTGGAAATAGCGCCCATCCGCAAGGTCAGAGCCTCGGCAATAACGCTTGTAGCGAGTTTCGAGTGCCACGAACTGACAGATGATATTCTTCGCGGGGTTTGACAGTAAATCCTTAACTGGTGTCGTGATAGGCGAAGTATCAAGTGTCAAGGCCCGGTACGGGTTGCCACACTTAGCGTAAGTGAGACCGTGCCGGAGAGTAGCATAGAGGAAACGGTCGTGGGTTTGAGCAGCCTACTGTATTTAGTCTGGGCGGGCCGGAGACAGAGAGAGTGTTCATACTGATGCCACGGAGTCGTACTTTGCGATCTCCTTAGGGACTTGGCGGAGGAAAGAAAACAGTGAAAATGCTAGTCTGCTGTAATATAGCCTGAAAAGCTTCACCTTGGTCGATGGCATATCCAACACGTCATCAGCCCAATCCTGGAGACTCATAGTCCTAAATATTTTCCAGCTGTCCCGTAGGAGTTGCATAGTGGCTGCCCCTGTATCCTCATGCCTTGAGATTAATTTCCAGGATACTGGGATATTCTCGTAGGATTCGCGTTTGCAATGTTGGGTCGCAGGAAACGCGTTGGTGTCAGTCAATAAACTTCCCTCCTCACGTCGGCTAAAATCCAAATCCACCATTGGCCACGATACTTCGAATGCTGAGTGTCGTATAGCCCGGACTTGGGGCGCCTGGTCATCCATATGTGATGGGCATGGAAAGGCAGCCGCCTTTGGTTTTTGGAGAGATGGGGGCTGCTCTGAGTTGTAGGTGATGCAGTGAGGAGCACCAGCACCGGCCTAATATCGCAATTGGGCGAACGGTACCTCGAAACTAGGTTGATTTATGAGATGTGTCGATGCATCCTAAGAGGCTATTCTCCTATCAGTTCTTCCAGGAATTCAGGAATAATCAAGATGCTGTCAAAGAGACACTTTTAGTAGCAGGCATTTAAGTCGCGGCTGTTTCAACCCGGACAGATACGGGAAGCCAGTCGATCGGGGACATGTATGCTCCAGTTTGAACATTCATGTGCCACAGGCTTTGAAGACGGTTTTACCCAGCGGTTCAGTCTGATTAAACGATATCTCATTTCATTTGCTCTAATACTGTCCTTCAAATCAATTCGTTCTGTTTTGCCAGAATATGATCTTAAAAGCCGCCCCGGATGCTGAATATAGCTTAGTATACCTTCTCCGAATGTCCTTATAACCGCTTTATCACTCAGCCCTGATACAAAGCAACGCATTAAAACTGAAACAAATTGATCAACGTATGTTGTTTATTTACCACAAAAATGATGGGAAGGCATGTTAGCTCTACTGAACCAACATTCAAGCTCAGCAATGACCATGCGGCGCTTCAGTCCCTTTTAGCCAACAAGATTCTCTTGAAGTGCGCATGCGCTTGTTCTCGCCATTTCATATAGTACGTCGGTAAATCTTGCCACATTATAACACTCCGTCGTCCATCTTAGGTTGCTAGAAAAGGCAGCAAAGAACATTCGATCCGTCAACTCTAGATTTTTATAACCCTTTCTCACTTGAGAATACGGGCCCCCATGAGCCTCGGGTGGCGTGAAGCTTCTGACAAGGCGGAGTTTGCAAAGGAGCCTTGCAGTGCGATAAAAATCCCATCCCTCCGAGTTCCACGTCAAGCCATTCGTTCGTTCGGCTACCAACATGTCAGAATGCAGTGGCAGCCAAAACGCAAACCCAATCCTCGGAATGCTCTACGCTTTTGCAGGAAGCCAGCACGTGACCTACTTCACAAAGTGGCCAGGGAAGGGATTCGCTCAATTACAGCCCAAGTTCAAGCTACAGATCATGGAACGATGGCATTGGGTCGAAGAGCAATAAGGTCCTCTCTCACAGAGTGCATTCAACAATTGCACCTTCTTCTCATTGAACAGATTGATCAATCGACGCACGTTACCCAAGAACAGGTCCTCGGAAGAATTGCACAGCGGTTCCCCAAGTACAAGTCGGTGATAAGTGCAATCCCGGCTGTGGCGAAGTGTATCCCGGAAGATTTGAAACAGCGCTTGGCTGTTAGATCGCAATCCAAATCATTCAAAATCGCGTTGGTGCTGCTAAACACTTGGGTAAAATAATGTTGTGTGCTTCTCATATGCTCGTCATGCAAAGTTTTTCCCGGCCATACAGTAACCGAAGACCCGTCTAGTCAGCTTCTATCCGATTCTGACGAACGGAGACACCCAGGTACCTATACGTGAATTGGATATTGGCTTGCACCAAACACCATCGGCTGTCGCGGAAAGAGCAACGGTGCCGATAGCCAGCCCCAGACGTCGTATTCCTTTAAAGACTGTACATCTGGAAAAACTGTCGGAAGTGCAGGCCCTACGAGTAGAAAAATGGTCTACTGTGATTACAAGAGTGGTCGACCAATTTTTGTCAACAGTGATTTGAATACAGATATGTTCTTGAGACATTTCTGTCCAAGGGGCAGATCGCAGCTATGTAACAGAATGAGGGAATTCAATCCAAGCTCCTTGCCAACGTGTTGAACTACATATGCAAGTGCTATGCTATTTGCATGGTCCTGGGACAGACCCATTGTATAGTTGCAGATTCATTTCATCAAAACACTCTCAGCCAGGGTGCATTCCATTCAGTTGTACATGTTGAGATACGCATATACAGGAGCTTCCAGTAAAACATCGGAATGAAGAGAGCGCTATATAATGGTTACTGATACAACTCCCTCCAAATTTCAATCCCACGCAGGAGTTCACGCGCTTCAACCTCCTCTCTTTCATTGCCTTCAATACTGACAAAGCGTAGTGCCTCCATAAGCCATTTAAAAGGGATTTTCTCACTATGGCTTCCTCGCAGTATATGATAGAGAACGTCTCGCGTATCTTCAATGGTCAGTCGGGGTAAGGTTGACGGGTCTTGGAAGCACAAACCAGGATACGTCAGTTCGGTCGAATATGTGTTTTGGATCCCAACCAAGACCTCTGGGCTCAGAGATCTCATCCATAGATGCAAAATAGCTTCACATGCATCCGGGTCCAACGCTTCGAAGGCAGGTCTATAGAAGTTCTCCAGGCGAGCTGCGTCGCAACGCTTGAGATTTGACAGTATGTTTACCAGGGCTGGGTTGTTTCTAGCCACAAATTGATGTGAAGTCAGTCTCAACAGGAATGATTATTTTGCAATGAGTAGAAAGCAGCGGGCTCTTAGTTGGGAGAAGCACTCGCACAGTATTGTCGTTCTCATGTAGGCTGATGAATTGAAGGGGCGCAAAACTGTTGGGCTCATTGTGTCTTTGCCTCCTGTACAATCCCGTACATCAGCAATGTTCTCCATGAAGGACTGAAATAATAGTTGCCTCACTTGCAGCTCTTGGGCACAGCTTGCCTTGGTATGGCCATCCTCATGAATGACTCCTGCATATTGCTAAATGTTGCCTCCTAGCCGGTGAACCCAATGGTATGGTTGGCGAGGGCGTATTCATCCGGGTTCTGATGAAAACCGACCATTTCTCCCGCCTGGGGCGAGGGTGGCTGTGGTTCATAGCAGTTGGCCTGAACATAAGATTGCTCAGTCATAACCCCTTATTTTTGCAAATTAGCACCATTTATATCCTTGTACGTTGGCTTTGAGGAATTTGAACTCCAGACAGAGCTAGACATACCTGTCCCGTGGGGATGTTTGATGATGCTCTCACTGAGCGGATATGACGGGGGACTTGGACCAGGGGCAAGGGTGCTGAAAGGTTGGGTGTACAGATGTGGAGGCCAGTGGCCATTGTTACTTGCCATGGTCCAAAGGATCGCACCCTTGATCACCAATCTGCAATGTCTTCTGGAACAAGTATGGCCTTGGAAACTACGCGATCTCGACTGCAGCGGTCCAAAAGCAAGCATAGAATGTCATTACCCGAGCTTCGAGACAGTAAGCTTCGTCAGTGGGAGCAGCAAAAGCACGAAAACATATTTTATGCTTCATGCCGGGAAAACCTTGTCAATCTATCAGGAGCAGCACTTGAAGTCGCCCAAAAGCTCATATTGCAATACCACTTTGAGCCCGAGGTAAATCCAGTGGGCAACATCCGTCTACTGCAAGCAATCCAAGCTCTGAGGGCCTCGCTAGACGAATCTAAACGGCGAGAGGTTGAGGCAGAACAAATTTGGAAGCGAGAGTGGAGAGTTACCCGTATCCAGCGCTCGCGAAATTCATGGATCTAGCCTTGCAGTATACACGCTGTCTGCAAACAGCGAGTTAGAATTTATCGCCGGCCAACTTCTGCTTTCTACTGAATATCTCTTCCATACCATATACAATCTATACAGCCCGAATCGGCATGGACCTCAATATTTGTACGCAGCTAACTTGTCAAGGGGTAGTAAAGTTTATGTACAAAACGGATAATAGCGTATTCGGGAATAAAACACCCAGAATCTGTCTCATCGCGCATTAACTCTTCTCTGGCAGCCTATTCTGTGTATTACTTATGGGGAGGAGGTTGGATTGGTGGTGGACTGCCTATGGGAATATCCATTAGAATGTGGGAGTGGTGACGACAATTACCCACTTGTCATGGGAAGATCATTCCACCGCATTCGGTTAACTTTGTGATTTTGCTCCATACTGCCGGTTTTGCAGTTGGCGCATTTTGGAAATTTAGCACCGCATGCTTCTTTTGTACCAACCAACTTCTGTCTTACATGCATTATGCATCGTCGTTCACCATAGGGATTTCTCACGGCCTGTGAAACAGGGTGCCAAGGTCAAGCTCGGCCTTGACTCGACGCTCCAAGCAAGTGCCCTACATAAATGCATCGACATTCCTTCTCTTCTAACAATACATTCATACGACCACACTATGCCCCCAGTCGCCGTTACACTCTCTCACTGGCTCTCAGGGGTCTCTCTCCCTGGAAAGTATGGTCTCTGTGCTGCTTTGGTCCTTTTTGCATGGCTGTTTTATCACATTGGACGGGATTGCCTGGTTTGGTCCCTGAAGTTGCAACGTGCCCTCTCTTGGAGGCGCTTCCTTCAGTCCCCGGTACCAAGCATCCTGCATCGTCTAGATATCCTGTCTTATGTACAATGCCTCCTATTGGCCGCTCTCTTGACATCGAATGTCGTTGTTCTGGTCTTCGCTACTCATTCTTTTGCCGAAGTGCAGAAAAGGGCCGGCTCAATGGCCGTCATCTACCTTGTCCCATTATTTGCCGGGCCCACATTCAGCCAGGCATCCAGTCTCTGTCGCTTGAGCCGGGATAGCCTGGCGTGGGTCCACCGCTGGGTGGGCCGAGCATGTCTAGTCCACTGCCTCCTCCACGGCACCATGATAGTAGAACTTGCCCGCCTGTCCACGCCATTGTCGGGCCCTCTTTTGGCCGCATTTGGGGTAATTTTTCAGTCTCATTATATGTCACAGAGGGTTGCTTCGGGGTTCAAGTACAAAATGCTCACGGAGTATAGGCAATCGTCAGCTTCCTCGCAATGCTACCAATTACACTTGCTGTAATGCTCCGACGCCATCCACAGCTTATGCTCAAACTTCACTATCTGCTGGCAGTCTGTGGTGCGGCTTGCCTCGCATACCATCTGCGAATCACCCGGTCACTTTACTTCTGGGTGCTGGTCGGCGGTGCTAGCCTGTGGGCCGTGTCATCCGGGGCTTTGTGGGCGCAGACTATGTGCGCGCTTCACTCATGGAGACACATCCGGCTCCAAGCTGAGACAAAAGTATCCAAACAACTCCTCTGGCTCGAAATCTCGGTGCCCCTACAATGGAATATCCAGGCCGGTCAGCATGTTCAGCTGTGGATGCCGCGCTCAGGGTATCGCTCTTGCTTGCATCTGCCGCTTCTCTATGTGGCGAATGTGGAAGAAAAGCAACAGCAAAAGAATGGCACGCCCACTTCCTCCCGCCAACTGCACTTTCTCGTGCGGTATCAACGAGGTCTCACCAAGAGACTCGCTTTAGATGCGATAAAGACCGATTTTAGCTTCCCAGTGTTTATGTTCGGACCATTTGGACACCCGCCTTGCTTTGGAAACTATGGTACCGTGTTGTTTGTGGTTGAAGATATAGGCCTGTTTCGAATCCTACCCTTCATTCGACACCTGGTTCTTGGCAGTCGCAGGAGGGAGACGGTGGTGCGGAAGCTGGAGATTCTTTGGGCTGTAGATTGGAGCAGTATTGTTGAACTGGAGCTTCTTCCCGAACCTATAGGGGTCGAGGTGTCTCTCTCGGCTAATCATGTTCCAGATACCTTCCAGCGGTCCAAGTATAAGTCGTGGATCTGGGACAGCATCCAGCATCTTTTTGAACTCGACCGACAGCGTAATCACGCTTCGGACTCTGGGGATACGCAAGCCTCGGTGGGTTCAACGAGCAGTTCAGCGAGCATAGGTCAGCAGCAAATGGGGCTTGGTGCGACTGGGGGGTTTGATGTAAGCGTTGTAGCTCCCGGGTGAATCGTCCGCTAACAACTCGCAGATTTTGCAAATGAGAATCTACTGTCCGGATGCCCCTCAGGAGGCCCACGGACGATTTCCGCAGTCAAGACGTATTCAGTCTCTGTTTAAAGTCTTCATCGCAGCAAGGGGGGTCGCGGAGTATATTGATAACCAATGCGGGAAAATGATAATCGCTGGTAGGTAGCACGGACGTCGCCGCTAGTATTATCGGCGCACTCCAGTCCGACGAGTCTCTCGGTTCCTCTTCGCCTCTTTTCTTACCTTTAATCGCTGATGTTTTTGCAGTGTGTGCGGGTGGACTGATCCGCAGGAACGTGGAACACGCGGCGCGACCAAACATCAGCGAAGATCTGCGCTTAGTCAACCTGTGTCTTGAGCCAGCCGCTGAGTGGACGGGTGATGAGATCTCAAGCAAGCCGCGAGAAACCACCAAGAATCACCATAGCGTATCTTGCACTTCGCGGCCACCAGGTAATATATCACGTTTCGACCGTATCACTGCTCTTTTTCGTTGTTCACAGCTAATATTTACCTACCCATGGTTAGAGTCATCTGATATGGGCAGGGGCTCCCCTTCAGTGACGAAGAATGGCGCCTTTGATCATAACAATTTCGTCAGGCAGAGAATAGCCGAGGGAAGGAGGGTCTGATGAGAATTTGCGAGGTCCTTCGTAAACGAACAGGTCTACAAGAGCTCGGGCGTTTTTACGTGATAATCTTCAGCGGAAGTTGATTTTGTTAAATAAAAGCAGGCTTCTATTTAGCATGTAGAACCTTGATGTATTCTCGCCTAGATGAAGTGGCCACTATACTGTGTGTCTCTCTTGACAAGGGAGGAAATCTCCACATCCGCTAAGATAAATCTAGACTAGTGTGTGTACATGATGGAATGGTCTGACAATTGACCAGATGGCGGTTGCCAGAGCCTTGGCAAAACATAGGCTTGGCAGCGCCTCATTCATCCAGGAGAACTGGCTGAATTCAAAAGATTTTTTGGCATGCGCGGCACATATATATATCCTAACATTTCCGTAGAATAGGAGTGATCTCCCTTACCCGATACGAACGACGCCTCAGATCCATCAATGTACTAGAACAATAATACGCAGTTACGCGTTATTCCCGGGGCCCAGCCTCCCCTTCCAAATGAGCTCGTTGAGACTAGGTGTTAAACTGGACATGGCCGCTCTCAAAAGATCAGCGTGCCCACTATGGCGGAAAACTCGCTAGGGTGGGACTAGATGTGCTTCGGCGACACGACGGCAGAGCGTAGCACATATTGCAGAATAGCCTACAGACATGTACTGTGCTGTAAAAAGATTTATTATCAGGAAATGAAAGCCAAAACCTGTGCTGTTCGTACATAGTATTCTTGAACACATAAGTCTTGTATGTACCCTAGTGCGCGGCTTTACTGAACCACACGTCCTACTTTGCGATAAGCAATCTGCCAAGGGCTGACACAAGCCTGGAACGTCTTTTTGCACAAGTCAATGCCGCCCGAAGCTGCAACAGAAACAAAAGCCGGGTTCCATTAGCCCACCGGAGAGCTCAGTCATTTTTCTCGGGCCATTCCCGGAAGATGATTATCTCGAGGATAATATACTTGTTACCTTTTTGTATGAGTCGCAGTTCCTGAAATATTCATCGTAAGACTTCGATTAAAACTAGCTCCAATTACAATCAACCCTTCGAACTTAGTGTTTGAAACACGAATAGTAATGTGGTGGTGCTTTACGTAGAAGCCCATCACAGAACTAGAAATCCAGGGATGTCTCCGAGCCGCGAGAAGCTCCACTGCGCTAGATGAGGATGGCCTACCGATGCTCGTGTGGAAACATCTGTGGAAGTATCTCAAGAATTACATCACCGGGATCTTGGAAGGTCATTCCGGAGTACTGTAAGAGGTACCGAACAGAGGCCAAATCCCTGCGGTTCAATCCCATTCTCCCTCGTCATCATCATATCCAAGAGTGACACTGATCAGGACAGGACCAGGGACTAAGTTGCCGCCAATACCTCCAATATCTTTGGCCTCAAACGTGTACGCATTACTCACTCTAGTAGCATTTGCGGTAATGATAGAGCAGATTTCAGTAACTGCATCGCATATCTTTCATGTCTTGAACCACAAATCCGGCACTCTGAGCGGTTATGGCCGAGACATCGATACCGGATACTTCCAATTTCCCATCGGATCATAGGCCATGGAAACCTGTTCGCGAATCGGGGCTCACGAAGGCCTTGGTGCAACCACAATCCTCTCATGCTAACTGCAGCAAAAGTAAGCGTACTTACTTCTTAACCTAATAAAGCTTGCGCGTACTTCGAAAACTGTACGGGCCGACAATCAATTGGTTGTATATGGAAGGAGAAGGGAATTCTGCCGAACGATGATCCTGAACATCGAGAACGGCGACAAGCCACAGCAGGCATCGACCTGACTTAAGTTTCTGTTTCATGTAGTTGGACGAACACAAATACATTTGGGAATTTATAGCATTGGTACACTTCCTGCATATTGCTCAGCAACGTGCCAAAATAAACATTTTCATACCACCGTCTCTGCGCTAGCAAAGCCCTTCCAAATCAACAAGCAAACAGGGTCAAGGTGTCCATTGGCGAAAGAACGGAGAACCGCCGGATAGTTTTTTTCCCCTCCTCGCCCGCAAATATGGGTGGGTGTTGGGGCGGTGCGAGCCAGAACGTGGAGAACGGTTCGCTTGGTAATTACACATCAATATCTTGTGCATACTGCATATGAGAGCATAGGCTAATATTCTACTGTCAAGTTCTTTATATTATCATATCCGCAAATGCGCAAAGAAAGGTGACTGTAATACACGATATCTCATTTTGGATAAAAGTTGTCTACTTGGATACTATTGAGGGTTGAGATCCTATAGATATAGTGTTCGCTTCTTCAATTTCCATATGCTACAACTACAGTATGAAAATTGATAGGCAATCAGCATTTGAACTATTCCATGAAAACATTGACTTCCACACCTCGAGTCACGTGCCATGAACGATATAGCAGACATTGTGCGAGCAATTGGTCACCAACAAGGAGAATATGCATACTATCGCGCCTGCTACAGTCTGTTCAAGCAGCTACAGGACTTGGTGGCTGAAGTGACCGAGGACTTGAATGGTCTTTATGAGAGCCAGCAGTGCAACCCTTCTGAACGGTTTTTAGCTGTCTCTCAAGTTGCCGAGGATTTCAGGTCGTCAGTCCAAAGCATCTCCGCCCGCGAAAAGAATGCCCAACTGGCATTGGCCAGCCTATGGTCGTCCAACAAACCACAGACCGACTCTGACAGGGCAGGGAACGCTGGATAGATGATTATGGCTATCTTGATGGATTGGTTTCTGTGTTACTGCCAGAGCAAGGACATTGTTCTATATGGAACTTGATAAAAGGAATTCCATAAGGCTGGCAAGATTGTGAAGTAGTCTAAATTCATTTCAAAAGGCATAGCACGTTTGACACCTCTAATTATTGTCCTATCCGCGAGGTTATATGTCTCTGACTGATTTCTGCTTTGCTTGCCTTGATTGAACGAAGTCTGCTGAGCGCAATGTATCCCACCCCTCCGCGGCAATTCGCAAGTGATATAAGACCTCAGTTTCGCCTTTTGAGTTATGATTTTATGATTTGCCAAGCCACGCGCCATATTTAAATATTGTAGTGCCAATTATCCGGCATGAGTGAAAGTGACAAAACACGATGAAGAACAACTTACAATAATAGAAAATCGTCGGAGTTACAAAATATTCACCTAGGGCTCCAACCTTAGTCAATTAAATGGCGAGAATCAAATAGGCTCAGGATTGGTCGAGAATCTCAATAACATTCAATTCAGATGATAGATTTGAGTGTAGAATGCCTACACTCAAGGCAGCATCTGAACAGAGAGCACACGGTCTTATTACTAACGCCGACCTCCTCTTAGCGTCGCGGGTCATCGGCTCGTTATGAAACACGGGAGGTCTTTATACCGCGCACAGCACACCACAATCAAGAATTAATGCACATGAAGACTATAGATGACCAGTCCCTAAACTGTCTCCTCCCACGAATGGTACGTTGGCTTCATTATACTCCGATACTTTGCATGTATCGGGAAAATGAATCCCAAACGGCCTTCTGACGCCTCGGAATGGAAGAAGTCGGCGCCTTGGGAATGGTTAGCTTCGTGGGGTTGTCGGAGACATAGTCCGCAGGGGTTTTGTGCACTGCAGGTCGAGAGCGAGTACCCTGTAATGTCTTAGAATCATTCATGATGTCTAGCGTCACATGAAACCTTATTGTCTCTTCCATTGTTGGAACGGGAACATGGGGATGGGAATGATAAGTGTAGATTCGGCCATTCGGCATCTCCATTGTTAGCCAGCTCCGGATGGAGTAAAGACGCCAAAAGTCATTATGGCGGCGGAGGAGGTTGTTCCGCCGTTTCCGCAACTGTTCCTGTTTCACGCGGCTGGTCTTTGTCGCCATTTAGTGTTTTTGTGAAGGCGATAAGGAGGAAGAGGAAGCAAAATTGAGACACAAATTCCCCTCGCTGATACTTAAGGCGATGCGCTCGGTTAGGGATAGGGCACAATCCTGCCGTTTGCCATGGTACGGTGGCGGTTATTAGCGATTGGCGGCAGGGGACTTAGGGCTGCGTCGGACACCGTTCAAGACACGTTCAAGAGCTATGTCTATAAGAGCGATGCAACATGCGTCACGTTTTGAACGCCGAATACCTAGGCTAGAATATTGCTAATAGGAAAGTTAGGAATATCACGTATGTTAATATGCAATCACATATAGGCGGCTCATCAACAATCTATGACCTACCACAAATATCCGAGCAGCATGGCCTCTACCCCCGTTTTTGGTTTTGCAAACGGAGGTGAAATGCACTCTGAATCAGGTAGAAAACTTTGCCATGCAAGGTAGTATTGGAGAGAAGCCAACTCTCTGTGCGGTAAAGCCGTTCTAGTCTCACACCTGTTCATAGATGATTTGGCGATCATGGGAGAAAGTGAAGCGTCTGTGAATCGTCTAGACCTTACCGCGAGCCGTACTTGGCACTTGCACATAGAGGACAACGTCAATCTATCATTTTACCCTATTAAACATCCCAATTGGTCCCGTAAATGACGAGCTGGAACGCGGTTCACCGTGACCAACCGTTCGCTCGCTGGCCGAGTCAAGCAGCGCGGTGCTTTCGTGACTAACCTGGTAAATTCGTTCAATCCAGAGCCATTGCGGTGTCCGATCGTGCCCACTTCAGGGGGAACAGTTTGCGTGGGTAGTCAAGACGGCCCATCATAAACAATTCAGATGCATTCTTCCACATTAATCACCTAGGTTAATAACCTGGATTAGCTTCGTTGATGGTCCGCATTCATCAAAGGTGACTGTTGAAATTGACACAATGTACAAATGTCTATTTGAAACAATCATTGGTGATTCCGTCCGCATCAGCTAGAGATCTATTGTCTATAAGAGCTGGTCTCTAGTCAGTATCACGCGTTGGTCAGTTTTCTAGCTATAGTGACAACTGAATCTTTCGGAGTGTACTTATGCCGCCGCCGAGTTCCTATGATGACACGTCTTGTAGCGGAGCCACGCTGGGCTCTCAGGATTCGGAGCCCCAGGATGTCCTAGACTCAGAACTTGACTCCGATTATGTCCCTTCGGAGATGAGCGAAGATCGAGCATTCCTAGCTTCCGATACAGAAGAGCTCTCTTACGTCTCAGATGACAGTTACAATATGGAGGATCCTGTAATGAGCATGATATACGACTATTCGACCCATGGGGATCGAAAGGTATGACCAGAACAAGTGTTTGTTAGGGTCTGGCTCTCCTCACCATTTTATCCAGATACCGAGCCTCGAGAAGAAACCCATCAAAGCGATAGCAAAACGAGAAATTACTCGAAACGGTCAGCTAAAGACTGAGTATCTAGTCCTCTGGTGCTCTTGGGAAAGCTTGAATTAGTGGGATGGCAAGGAGAACCGGAATCAGTGATTGTACATCTTTCTTTGTCCTTTGCTACGACCCTATAGCAGAATTAAAGAACGAGACAGAGACCCTATCAGACACAATTCCCTTCGATTCAATGTCCGCTCCCCGAACACACTTTGTTTTCAGATATATATCTTGAGCATTGGAACAACATATCGCCCACAAAGACAAACAAGTATGGCGACGACTGTTTTCTCCTGTCGTGCTAGTAATAGTCAGTTCGAGCAGCACCCCAAGACCATATAGTTTCCTGGCCACTGCAAGGTTTTGCTTGCCTCCAGGCTCGGGAGATACTTCGCTGGTGATCTAGGAATATGACTAATTGCTAGAGACGATAACTTAGTTGGAGTTACTGGCGAATGGTACCGTACAGCAGCAGCAACGATTCTATTGGGAGTACTCAATACTACAGCGGAAAACTGCTCAAAACAAGGACAGATGGAATCACGGTCCGACATGATACTGATGTCTCGATGGAGATGATCTACGCCTGTGAGTCGAATATGAAGCATCTGAAGATGGGAGCCTTTCGCACCCGGTTCAAGACTCGCTCGCTGTGTTAAAGGGATCAGCCGTCTCTCTTTATCGTTACTGTACCCTTCTCTCACGCAAGTAACTAACCACAGAAGAAGTGTTTGCACACAGCGCCAAGGCAGAGAGCTGATTGAGATGCCTCAACTCGGCCTTATCGAATATCCAGGACGAGCAGAAGTCTCGAGTACCTAAACGGCCCGCGGCATGGGGACAGGAGCGATCTGTGACCAACGAAAGTTGGATGAGAGTTTCCTGATGTTGGATTCGGTATCCCTCTCTATCCAACACGCCAGCTGGAAGGCATGTGCCCAAGCGCCACCTGGTGGCCGATCAGCACTGAGTAGGATTCGTAATATGGGATGGTCTGATACGCACGTGAATGACCGAAGGAGACCAGGGCTGAGATGTGCGAAGGCCAAGCGAAGTTGATCCCCGATATCTTCCAAGAACTGCTGATCGGCCTTAGCGCCGTCGGGGGTCCCAATAGTTGAGAAAGGATCAGCGGCCAATCCGACTGCCTGAAAGATGTTGAATGCTGCACAGCGATTGAACCGAGTGAGACGGATCGGGGCGTCAAACTTCAAGTGGCGGGTGTGCAGAAGGTGACTGGCGCTTTTGGAGTGATGGATGAAGAAATCATCGACGTTAAGCACATTCAAAGCCCATTCACTCGCAGCGCAAAACACGATCACACGGTAAATCCGAGGGACCAGAGCATTGTAAAGTTTCGAAGAGGCATGGCTCAGGGATCGAAGAGCAAGCGGGGGTAACTGAGGAGGCAGCAATGTGCTCGGGTTCCATAGGAGAAAAGTATACGGACCCACTCCGCAATATTTTGCAGGAGCTCGTTCGGGAGATCCTCGAGCATTTTATCTGCGATATGGTGTTTGTTCTCTTTCAACAAAGGAAGGTCCGACTCCTTTGTACTACGCATCTCAACGAAGCCAATTGCAGCTAGACAAAGGAATAGATGAAACTGCCGCTAAAGAATGACAGAACAAGAATTAAATACGATATTGCACAGAAGCTGTTCGAATAAACAAATAAATAGGGCATGAGTGGCGAGCTTGATCGAAGAAGATGCCAGGAAATTTTAATGTTGCAGAGGACTCGGATAAGCATATTGACATGAGTTACTCGGCAAGTGTAAATATGATCAACTGTTGAATCCTGGCTATAGATCCCGGTTGACTGTACGTTGTTTCGGGGCCTATATGAGTAATTGGGCGAAAGAGAAAAAGGACTAATCTAGTACCTGTGGAACGGAGAGTCACATAGCCGTGGGGACAGATGGTCCGGCCAACGGCGTTCTCCCTTTGGAACTTAGTAAAAGACTACAAAAGATGAACTGGGATTTCGACCAGTTTGTGCTGCAATCGATATGGCCTTGGCGAGACTGACAGCAGGGAGCTGGCATCAAGCGCTTAGAAGGGAATTTCTTAGAGATCTCTCCCCATGATCCAGAGTTTTTTGTCCAGAACATCATTGGTATTTTCTAGAACAGATATCAACTTTTCCTTGTTGCTATAGCAAGGAACACTTAAGTATATCTCCATAACTCTTTAAGGACGGTTTTGGACCTGTCGAGTAGGATCAACTAAGCAGTATGTCACAACTTCCCAAACGTTCCTCAACGACAGAGAATGTCATTCTGGAGGGTCCTGCCCTTGTTCTGAAGTAAACGTCAATATAGCACCAAGAACCTGATCATGTCTTCCTGTTCTTCATCGATTTCCTCACTTCTACAAAATAGATAGTACGGATACTGGCTCCTGATGTTTGAACGGGTGTCCACACAGCCGCAGTATGCTGCTCCATGCATCTTCGGCTCCTATTCCCGTTCAATTAAGTTCTTCTGGATCGCTGGTATTAACTCACGGCATCTTTGTATAACATTTGCTATGTGGGTTTACTATCTATGTCCGCCATCGGCTGGAAGACCCTACTTTTTACCAGGCTACACGCAACGCAAGAAAGGTGAAGCCCCAGCCTCTTGCTTTCCATCCCCTTAGACTTCAAAATACTGTCTCTTGATACGGAACACCAAATATCCTAGACACAATCCAAAATATGGACCAAGTACCGGGTAAGAAATCCTGAGCTATGCTCCTTTACGGCTCAGGTCGGATTAAGTTCCACACGCAAACCATTGGTCTTGCACTCCTGGATCAAGTACCAGGTCGGGTTGCGATGGGACTTCACTTGCCCGCCCTCCAGCAAATGACAGACACCCCTTCGCGGTGCTGGAGACTATTACTCGGTTTAATTTAAGTCCCAGGAAGCCAAGATCTATTCTCAATTCTAACTCGACATTTTACACAGTCCGTAGAACTGGCAAGTACTATTCAAGATTTCAAACTGTCAACATTGTTCAAAGACCTTGTATCCGCGCAATTAACACCCCTTAAATGACATAGGACACCTGAAAGAGGCAGATTATTATCGTGAAGAGACAGAGTAGGTAAATCTACGCAATATACAAACCAGTATAGGCAAAATATAAGACGACCAAACTTTGAGGCTACACATTCAATGAGTTGCTCGAGCTTTAAGCTGTTTAAGTCAAACCAGTTTAGCTCAAACTAGAACCTGTTCAAAATAGCCATTCTATAAGTACCTAAAACTTTATCTTCTGTTAGACCATATTGTTTACACCTATGATTGGGTTGAAGAACCTCCCCACGGCAAAAGTTATTGCTAATAGGAAAGTTAGGAATATCACGTATGCCTAATATGCAATCACATATAGGCGGCTCATCAACCATATATGACCTACCACAAATATCCGAGCAGCATGGCCTCTACCCCCGTCTTTTGCTTTTGCAAATGGAGATGGAATGCACTCTGAATCAGATAGAAAACTTTGCCATGCAAGGTAGTATTGGACAGGAGCCAACTCTTTGTGCGGTAAAGCCGTTCTAGTCTCACACCTGTTCATAGATGATTTGAGGATCATGGGAGAAAGTGAAGCGTCTGTAAATCGTCTAGACCTTACCGCGAGCCGTACTTGGCACTTGCACATAGAGGACAACGTCAATCTATTATTTTACCCTAGTAAACATCCCAGTTAGTCCCGTGAATAACGAGCTGGAACGCGGTTCGCCCTGACCAACCGTTCGCTCACTGACCGAGACAAGCGGCGCGGTGCTTTCGTGACTAACCGAGTAAATTCGTTCAATCCAGACCCATTGCGGTGTCCGATCGTGCCCACTTCAAAGGGGACAGTTTGCGTACCATCGCAGTTCCTGCAATATTCATCTTAAGACTTCGATTAAAACTAGCTCCATTTACAATCAACGCTTCCAACATAGGGTTTGAAACACGAATAGTAATTTGGTGGTGCATGTTGGGGCACGGTAACATCCTGGCTCTCAGTAGGGCCGGTTAAGGCTGATTTGAACGAAAGTAGCACCAGACATTGTATCACGTCTGCATGAAGGTGATTCTGAATGCATTTCGCTGCCTATCGAGGGTAGAGAAGGCAACCATCACGGAAACAACATAGCATGCCCGAGACCAGACAGACGAAGGCCGACCAGGTGTCTGCCCTATTTGAAAAGCCCCCTAAGAGTTATCCCTGCTTCATGATTAAAAAAGAATGGCTCACAAGCCATCCATCCGACCCCCAGGCCCTCTTGGTCTAGACTTATTAAGAAATTTTGCCGAAGGGATCAGACTTCCGTGGTATGGAGCCTGTATATTGCGACTATGCCGGGATATATATTGAGCATTTACCCTCCTGAATAGGTATCACAAAGCAAACACCACTGGTATTCTTCCGTATTATCAAATCCCATGGCCCCTCCACTTGATTATGAGCCCAGCATAGCTCCAGCTGCATTTGCGGCAAGCTGGCGTGAGAAGTTCAAATCACCACCACGGCGGGTTTCCTCCATCTACAGTTTTCCCGATGATGATTGTCCTTTCGAATATGTCGACCAACCGCTGAATACTGAAGCCAATGATGTGACGGGGAATGAGGTTGACCGTCAACGTACTGAAAGCGACAGCTTGACGGCGGACCCTCCAAGCTTGGCTTTGCCCGACTTAGATAACCTGCGGCAACATTCTCCCGAGGTAATCATGGCACTGGAGGGTACGTTTATCAGACAGTAAGTAAAATCGATCCTGGTCTCAATTTGCCCCTCACTCACAGCCAAGTAGAATAGACAGCCAAGTGCAGTGGGTCATTTCTCTAGACTACTTCCAAGACAAAAGACTTGTATATTGACAACAGGTACCTAGGGCGATGGACGAGCATATCAGGCAGCAAGATGTTTGGAACGACGGCATACAACGGCAGATGGAGGCAATTGTTGCACACCACCGGAAAATAGATGCCCTGGAAGCGCAGGTGGCGGCGCTGCAAGGAACGCTGGATGTTCTATGCGGTAACAAGGAAGCGGCTAATGCAGGGCGCAGATCGGGTGGCCGCAGACGCCAGGCACCATGAAGACAGCCCCATATCCTCAGAATCCATCAACGTAATTTAAGCCAAGCGCGATGCCTCTTTCATCATCCAGGAAGTACTCCCAGACACCGTATTCCTAGTAACTGCTCGCTATTTGTGAAGGTGCTAATAGGATATTAATGCCCCTTCAGCGAGAGGTAACAGTGGTAACTGTGGTGGGCAATCACCCACTCCCTCTAGTTTCGTCTCCACCTAAGCGGCCGGGTGCTCGTGTACACGACGGCCCACCCAGGCGCTTAACGTAAAGATCCTAAACTCCACCTTGTATGCTACCGTACCGGGGACAGGCGCTGTAATACATTTTCCACACTGCGCTGGTATAGCATTTGCGTGCGTCCTGCTTCTGTACTATGAAAACATGTCCGGACACAACACCCGATCTCGCTTTGTGCAATCGGGCCAAAATATTATCTCTAGCTTTCATCGTCGCCTTCTTTACCGTCCAGCTAGTGACTAGGAGCTTTGGTCGGCTAGAGATCGCGATATACGAGATCGATCCTTGCTTAGCAACTGGGGCATGTCGCTATCGGCCCCTAACGTACCCCAACCGCAACGTATGTGTTTATCTTTTACTGTAGGTAGCTGCGCACTTCTTGCGTCTCAAAAATAACTTTTGTGATCGAACGGTATTCATTTGTACGGTCACAGTGAAGTCCTGCTATCTCTCGCCTGTCCCCTCCGCAATTTTGGGGCTCACTCCGTGATTGATCCTACAAAACGGGCCCTTAGTGACCAAGGTGAGACACTGTTGACCAACTGAGGCTACCGCTTTGGCGCTGTTGGTGATGGAGTTGCAGCTTCCATGGTAAGTAGAAACTCTGATCGACATTTCCAGGGGCAGTTGAGTAGTCCTCGAAATGAAGCAACAGGCCAAACGCCTCAAGTACAGCCATACCCTGCAGGACTAGCGGTTGATCCACAACAGCTAGGCCGACGGAAAGCGCGTGACGTCTGCCATGGCTCGAATGTACTTTGTATTTAGAAGCAAATATTTCCCCGGATCCAGCCCGGCCGTACGCATCCTGCCCGTGAAGCTTGCCTGCGCTAGCACAACGAACCTAAGCCGCTCTTGGCATTGATTAGTGCGGATCTGGCCCTCAGGACATGCTCCGTCAGCCGTCCCGTTCTGCTGCGGCTTCTGGAAGTGATCCCACGCCCTGCCCAGCGGTGACAGCGCCTTAAGATGCCCGTCAAAGTTAATTGTTGAACAAATACAATGGTCCACGACAGTAGTCAAAAATAGGGTGCGGCATTATGGGAAGGCTGTAATCGACGATGGGCTAATGCTTTGGAAGCGTCACTGTGTCCAGTCAGAAGCTGGAATGAGACACACCGGCCTTAACTGCGAGTAAAAGCGCATCCAAATTTACTCCAAGGGGAAATGCCGAGAACGCCCC